AGTGGAAACAGGCAATAATTGTCCCCATCCCTAAAGGTCCTACATCTGCAACTTTGGATAAACTGAGGCCTATATCCCTCACCGACCACTTTTCCAAAATTGCTGAGTTGTTTATAACCAAGCTTCTGTTACGCGACATTAACCCTCATTTGGACAAACACCAATATGGAAGCAGACCGAGCCTCTCAACTACCATTTGCATCGTCGACCTAATCAACTACCTTGCTAAATCAGCTGAGGCACCAAGAACTGCCACTACCGTAGTATGCACCGACTTCAGCAAGGCATTCGATCGGGTCAACCACACTATCGCGATTAAGAAGCTTATTGATCTTGGTGCCCGCCATTCGATTCTTCCTTGGATCTGCGATTTTCTGACCGAGCGCCAAACCTGTGTTCGTTACCATGGTTCACTTTCGCCCTGGAAGAAGATTCATGCTGGCGTCCCACAAGGCACACGCCTAGGTCCTGTTGTATTCTTGGCCCTTATTGATGATGTAATGCGTGATTCTTCATCAACGAGTCACTGGAAGTACGTCGACGACATGTCCATTGCCGCCTCGCACGATGCACGCAACCAGCCACGTGATATCTCCCGTTCACTATCCACTCTAGAAGATTGGTGCCAGAACAATTACGTTAAACTCAACACCAAGAAGTGTTCAATCATGCGATTGTCCTTCAGTAAAGTCCAACTACCCCCACTAGGAGTACTTATTGATAATGTCCCCCTGAACGAGGTTAGCAGTGTGAAAATCCTTGGAGTAACCATTGAAGACACCTTGAAGTGGAATGTACAGGTTTCGGATACGGTTTCTCGTGCTAACCGCCGCATTTTCATGTTAAGATCCCTGAAAGCCTTCTATCCCCCCACCAACGACCTCGTTACAGTTTACATAGGATTTGTAAGACCACTCCTCGAATATGCCTGCCCTGCCTGGAACGGAGCATTGACTATCGCCCAGTCCAACAAGATCGAAAATGTTCAAAAACGGGCATTAAGAATTATACTAGGTAGATATTACATATCCTATTCAAATGCCCTATCAATGACCAAGCTTCAAACTCTCCATGCTCGCCGAGAAGAGCTATGTCTCAAGTTTGCCCTGAAAGCACTGAAATCCGACCAATCAGACTGGTTTAAACTGAACGCCAGCACCAGAAACACACGGAAATCACGTATCTGTATAGAACCTAAGTCCAAAACAGAACGATACAGGAAAAGCCCAGTCCCATATCTCACCAGGTTACTCAACAACGCATAAATTCCCCTGATTCCTGCCCGATTCCACACCTCTTATTCAAATCGTATGCCTTTTGTTGCTTTTAATACTGCTCAACTTTATACCCATCAACTCATAAAGATTAGTGCATGTAATCCACATTGTAATAATGGATACACTTGTGTTTTTAACTGTCAAACTGATTAATTAGTGAATATTTTTTTTATAGTTACGCACGTTCCCATGTACATTCTATGTCTTTACATATTTAAAGTTTTTACGCATATATTATGTTATTGTCTTAGTAATGCATGATTGGTAAATTGTACTGTTTTTCTCTGTAAGGGAAACTTTGTATTTTACTTTGTAATTTCTTTCTAATCGTCTTTTCCTTGTCGTCTTACTTTCATCATTATTCCGCTTCTCCATGTCTTCACAGTTCCAACTGTTCCATTCTTCTCATTCCACTCCCTCCCTATCTCCCTCTCTCTCTCCCATCTTCCGCATGTCTTCCTATTTTTCTTTCTAACTTAACTCTCTCTCTCTACATCGTTCTCTCCCTAACCTTTTCTCTCCCTTTCGGTAATTGTTTAATCATGTTTCTATGATAAATCCTTATATATTGTGTAGCTTTATAGACATTCAATGTGCATTACGGTTCGAAGTTAAACAAATCTTCAGTACTTACTTGTTATAACTCCATTAATCAGCCTAAATTTATATTTAAAATATGAATATTCCTCACTTAACAATGATTACAGAAAAAAAGTAACGCCGAATCTATTTTATTTGTTTCATCAATTTGTTTGTAAGTAGGGAATATGTAATTAGTTATGATCTAACCGACTGTGTATTATGTGTACCTGTCCATATTATCTAAGTTTGTTGAAATGATTTTTAATACATGTAAAACTTGCAATGTAATTTAGCTTTCGAGCTACCATTTTGAAGTTGTCTAATAAAAAACCATTCTACTACTACTACTACAGAAGGGAGTAGCTAACATTTTTAAAAAAGGAATGAAAGAGGGAAAAAGAGGGGGAGAGAGAATCGAGATAGATGGAGTAAAGAAGTGGTACAAATGCAAGTCGGTAAGTGAGAGAGAGAGAGAGGGAGAGAGAGAGAGAGAGAGAGAGAGTTTCAAAGATTACAAATCAAAAGAAGGAAGCGGAAACAACATTTGTATCGACATTTTCATTCCCCTCTTTTTGTCGAGAATGGACACTATGGAATGGATTATTTTAAAGAAATTTAGCGGGAAGACGAAGTAATTGACGGACGGCCCTAACAAAATTGTGTTTGTCACGTAAATATACAGAAGATGGAATTACTTTCTGATGTCCATGCAACTTCCAAAGGCTCACGTATCATTGGTACTGTCACATTTAGGGCGAAATCTTCCATTATCATTCAGTTTGGTTAAGTTTTCATGAGCAATTATTCGAACAATCATTCATTTGGTTACGGCATGCAGGCAACTTCCATTAATTAATCGATATTGCAGATATTACATGACTGTTTCAGAAACTGGAATAAGTTAGCGTTCAGTTTATAAGAGCTATGTAGTCCATGATCTTGGTTAACCATCATATTTTACCTAATCTGGTGGTTCTGAAATGGGAATACGATATTCATTGATAAACAAAGACAAATTCATAGTGGTTTAGTATTACACGGAGTTAGGGTTTTCTACCAGGTCTCTTAAACAATGAAGGTAATTGGAAAGGTAAATTTAAATTATCGAGAAAAATTTCTTTAAAAGAGAGACTTCAAGTCTAAAGACTATCATGTTTTGGATTAAAAACTTTCTTTCCGAATTTGGTGTGAAGCAGTGAGACATGAGAACTTTATGTGCATGGTAAGCTCACACCGATTGAACTGAAAGTTTATGAATTGCAAGGTTTTATTCTTTCTTAAATGCATGCAATTGGGATTGTAACTAATGGCAAACAAAAATTGTAAATAATTGTCAAAAGAGGGCGTGGCAGCTACACCTAAAATTACAATGGCGGCCATTATGGTTTCATGTTCAGGCAAACGTTTTCAATTTTATTGTACACATTTTATGTACTTTTAGATTTTTAGATAATGTGTTAACAAAATTTCAAAGTATTTTTATTCAGAGAAATATATTGCTGCGGTGAATTCCAGCGGTTTAGAAAAACTTTTGTCAATCTTTTATTTTGGTCACGGCACCCTTTTTGTCATCGACACACTAGATAGGATATAACGTAACGTGTGTGGGCACCCCACTGCCAAAATAATGTAAATGAATATAAGGAATATTCGAGCATCTCGTTGCCCGGAATTATCCATTTGTCTAAACGTTGGGAGCAAGTGAAGCGAACGCGCATGGGGAAAAAAAAATGTAATTTCGATATAAAAGATATAAAATATATATTTGGGCACCCCGCTGTCAAATAGAATGGTATCTAGACACCTTGTTGCTAAAATATGGAGGTATTCAGACCACCCTGTTTCTAATTTATGCGAGAGAGCGAAATAGGAAATAGAAAAAAGAAAATACATATTTTAGTGGTTTACATATGTTAGTGGCAAGAGATGTCTTGCGGCAACATGCGGTACCGCATTATGTACATAACCTTGGTTTTAAATTATAAATGTATTCATGAATTTGCACCAAAGAACTAATCCAGGAATACAAACCCACAGGCAATCATATGTATCGTAATTTGCAGGTTTATTTGTATTTGTTATGATTTGTTTAATATGTAATTGTTTGTCAGTGAATTTTGTTTGTTATAGCGCTCACAGACTTCGTTGGAAAGCGCTGTATAAGCACAGTTTTTATTATTACTATTATTATTATAAAATATGGATAGAAAATCAGATCTCTGTTTTAATCATTCACGCATTCATCATAAAAATGATAATATTAGAGTTTCGATTATAAAAAAATTCAAAAACGAAAAGTATATTGCAGATTCGAAATGTAGCAATAATAAATTCACAAGAAAATGGTTTCAACTCAGGAATTTGTTTACATAAAATGATATTTTTCTGTATTTTTTTTCTTTTCATGAATATCAGAAATGAATTATTAAAGATTGGTTAGTTTTCTGTTAACTCATCTTGAGAAGCCAACTTTATTTATGTTATAAATGTAAATTACCTTAAAAATATATTTGTTAATTTGTTTCAAATGAAAATCAATAAAATCCCTGTGGAGGGAAAACCCACGATGTTACGAAGTGACAACTAAAGACGTAACACTTCATAAAATGTGGTTAACCTCGAGCGTTTAACAATCAATGGCGTTATACATGGTGGTGGGTCAACGATCTTTAGATTGAGATCCTTGAAGACCATTTTAATATGCTGATAATCAGGATACTCAAAGTTGTACAGGAACCGTTTATTGCCAGAGGGTGATGCCTCTTTCCCGACTATCAAATGTTTCCAGTTTCTGTAATCGGCGAGAAACTGTATATTTTTAACACAGAATATACTAGAGAAGATATGAAAACTATGAATAGGCTCACTCGGTGCTGGATTACACGGTAATGGTTTGCCCAATACTTTTAATTTAAACAAAATATTTGGAGCTGCACCCCCCCTCCTTATACGTTTATAGATATAGTCTGTAAAACTTTCTCGCATTGCAACAGTTCCAGTCTGTATCAATTGTGATTCCACTCTTTTCGCGCCAACATTATATGCCAGTGTCAGCAGAATCAGCTAATTAATTATTTGATGGGCACTTTGTTTGAAGAAAAACATACATGTACATTCCAGGAGATTTTTTTGTTAACTTACCTCTTCTGCGGTATTCCTCAACATCCATGGTTGAGTCAAACTCTGTGAAGTTGCATGAGAAAACTGTGCTGTCACTGTAGCCTCATCTACCCTTAAGAAGACCTCTCTTTAAAATGCTGAGTATGCTGTCAACGAGCTAATTTGTCTGTTTAATTACGCCTTTTGTTGAATCAACGTAGTCTTCTCGGTCTGAAATGTCACAGAAGAAATGTTCAAATATGATACTCTATACCCACTGTATAATTATGCTGTGCGGTGCTTCTCAAGTTCATCGTTGGAATCCCCGGTTGCCTCGAGCAAGCTGACAGGCTTTCAATTATCGTAATGGCTCGGGAAACAAAATATACGATTATTAAAGATGCTTCGATGCACGTCTCCTTCTTTGCAGAGATAGAGAACGAGATACATAGAGAGGGGTGAAGACGGTCGACCATGCAATCAAATTTGATATGTAATGTTTGAATCAGCGCAAAAGAGCGAGCATTTGTAAATGGAAGACATAGATGCAATTTTCGATCGCTTGATTCAATGCTACAACTGGCGCCCGTGTCTATACCAAAGCTTCAGCTCCGACGTTAACTAGCTCTCCACAACTAGTTTTTCTCTCCATTCACTCTCTCTACTCCAGCTCGTGATTTTTTTCAAATTCACCGAGCTCTATTGGTTGTGAATGTAGCAGAAGAGTTGGCTCGATTCACTAGGGTGTAAGAGGTATACTGAGATTTTTATAGCTTCCAGTACGGGAGTGCAGGGGAGTGCAGTGAGTTCAGCTGGGGCGTCACTTCATCGGCCAATCACAAGCTGGAAGCCACCACTTCCGAGTATGCGCAGTACGACTATCACCAGAAGAACACTACACCAAGCAAAATGGCCAAGTATTGGTCGGTTTGAAATCGGTTGGGAGTCAGCAAGGAAGTGTGATTGCGGTATCACTGTATTGCACGTGATGAATGCATGTTTTTTAATGTATTTTGCCTTTGAAAATAATGTTAAAAGATATGGACAAGCGTGTCCATTTCCTGGGTCCATTTTAGATAATCACACTCCCCACGGGAAAAACAGGTTGACTATTCGTCATTACGAGTGGAATAAAAAATACCTCTCTCCCATTCTCTTTTCTTTCCTGTTCCCTTTCAAACCGGCTACCCACATTGTGAACAAAACTTCATATACATACCACCATGCAAAACCCAACCTTTAAGGGTAATTGTAATGTTGACTATTGAAATACTATTATTCTTATCTGGTGAATGAAGTAATTTGTATTGAGCCACTTCACAAAGACGTATGTATTAAATGTGGTTATATTGCGAAGATGGTCCATTGTGGGGTAATAGACCGGTTTTTACTAACATATTCAAATGTATGGATGTTTCTATCCCATGGACCTAGTGGTGAGTTACTCCATTAACCTGTTATTAATGAATGAACTACAATACTCGAGATCCAGTCTGCATATATTTATTAATGCTATGTCGGGCAAGCTTTCGGGTAGTCAAGAACAACCTCTGTTAAAAAAATCAGGCATACTATTTGAATACGTTTAGTAAACCGGTCTATTATGTGGCGTATATAGGTATCATTGCGCCCGGGACAAACAATGAGATTGGGCGACCCCCGGACCAAGCTTATCTATAGCACTTAACTGTAGAGATTTTTTTGAATTTGTTAATCCTCTAAAACAGTTTCTTGTGCATTTTACCAATCATGGGTAGGACCATCCGCGAGGGAGCATCACGATGAAAGGCAATGATAGGCGTATGGGTATGTTATCATGGGGGGGGGGGGGGGTAAGGCTTTTTGGCGGAATATCAACCATCATTGTGTATGATTTCGCGAATGAGCGAAGCGAGTGAGAAAATAAAAACATTTCATTATGGTGTGCTAAATTCTAGATGTGTCATGTAAGATCAGACAATTTTTTTTAAATTTCTTTATTATTTTGTTTTAATATATTTTGTTGCCGACCTCGCGGCCCATGTAAAAGAGCTTCACGGCTCACCGGTTGAGAAGTGTTGTTTTAGATGATTGTGTTTGTCAACTTCCATGTCATCTCGCAATATTCATGATTCTGCTGAAGTCATTATATTGTCATAAACACAATCAATACACTCGTATTATCAAGACTGATTTTCATTAATCTGATCATTCTGAGTATAGCATCATGGTTTGCTCAAACGTCTCTCCCCCAGAATTCTCCCGAGCTAGTTTATATGGTGAGAGTGATCGATAGATGTAGGTGTATTGGCAGGTGGGAAGCTTGTGACATGTTATGCCATACCTAGTCATGCAGTGAGCTTTCATTCACAGTACGGAAGCAAAAGGCGGGTCCTTCGGTCACGCAATCATCACAAAATTACGAATATATCACTTCTTTCTCTCTATAAAATCAAGCAATGATACCTAACTAGTTAAAGGATTTATAATGTTCGACATATCTGGTATGTTTAATTGTTATTATTAATACCATTATTACTATAGTAAGTTATAATTATCATTATATTATAATTATGCGCTTAGAAACGCCGGTATTAAATGTAATTATTATTATTATTGTTGTTGTTATTATTATTTTCATCATTATTATCGTATTATCATTATTATTATTAGTAGAAGTAGTAGTACAAATAGAAGTAGTAATGGTAGAGGTATTAGTAGTAGTAGTAGTAGCAGCAGCAGCAGTAGCAGCAGTAGTAGTAGTAGTAGTAGTAGTAGTAGTACACTCTAAAAACTGAAATGTTAAATGTCAATTTAAAAGGACCGAGGAGTGACCACTCTTTCAAAATGTCAGATTGTTTTTTTTAACCTGCTAGATTCAACCTTTATAGTGTTGGATCCAGCATGTTTAAAGTGTTAATCTACCATTTTGAAAGAGGGGTCACTCCTCGGCCCTTTTAAATGGTGATTTAACATTTCAGTTTTTAGAATGTAGTAGTAGTAGTAGTAGTAGTAGTAGTAGTAGTTGTTGTAGTAGTAGCAGCAGCAGCAGCAGTAGTAGCAGTTTCGTTTTACCGAGCGTAGATAATTAGAGAAACTTATTTACCGAAAACAAAGTCAGAAAAAATAAAGTTACTGCTGACTTGAAGAGATCACTGCTACGTGGAAATTCTCCAGTCTCATGGGAACTTAGTCGATGTTTCACTTGGGCTTTTCTTTGGAAATATATCCACACAGTTACATGTTATATTTCTCTATCTAAAAATGTTTATTGACTCCTAACTCCGAGCTGAAGTGTATTTGATGATAATCTCACCTGATAGAGAGTAGACTCCATGATATTATAATCACATTATGTTGAATTCACAAAGATCATAGTGACCTCGATTTCAAACAGATCATCATTTTCTTATCTATAAAAAAGATATTAAAAAATCTCATTACAAATTCCATTGTAGCCGCCGCAGCATACAACACAACACCACACCCAAGTAGTACTACGAGATCCAATTTTTTTGTTCACTTTCTGTTTCTATCAAGCTACTCTTAATATATGTACATTATATGTATTTTTTCAACAGCACAAGAGAGTTTACGTTATTAACTACTGCTATGAAGTTGCAGGGTCATGATTCACACAAAATTGTAGACCGGTCAACTTAATGTCAACTTACAGGCACCTTGTAAGGGAGGCGATTTTTCCTAATACAAGTCTCTTTCAATTACTGCATTTCATGGAAATAATTCACGATATTCTTCTCAAGAGAGAGATATTGACTTTTGTATGATTTTAGATGTGAAGCCTTTGTCGGTATGTGTGACTCACGGCGTGTTCCAAGAATGAAACCTTGAATTACACCATCGGAAATAGGAAGTGCAAATTAAAATAAAAAAAGTCAGAATTTAGCAATGGAAAACCGGCATTATTCTAAGACAATATTTACAATGTATATATTTAGAAATCTTCCGATGAAAAAATGACCGAACCAATACAAATTAAAAGATACACGTATTTATATCGATGAATTTTAATGGATAGATTAAAACGAAAAAATCCGGGAAAAACCTTTATCCATCAAGATTTGTCGGTATTCATAATTTAACAGCTCGAGATATGCTACCCCATTACGCCCAACATCCATGCCATTTTTCGGTGGACAAGATCCCTCCATATTTCATGCAACCGTTTCACTTTGTGCCGTGATGTTACAGCGCGCAGTCCCGGACTCGTCGTCTCACCGTCAAATCTAGCACCTTGGATCAGAGATTTCTTCATGACGTCACAAAGCCAGTTGACACAGCTTGTTATGTCGCCACTGTTCAAGATCTCACACCCAATATCGCAGGCTGGGTGGGCGAAATGGAATGAGTTAATGAGGGAGAAGAGCAAAACCAAGAAAGAAAGAAGGAGAGAGAGAGAGAGAGAGAGAGAGAGAGAGAGAATAATCAGATACAAAAGTGTGATAAAATATGCATGGAGATCGTAAAAATATGAATATTCATATACAGGGCTCAAATTAAATTTTTGTCCACGGGGGGCTCTTCCAAAAAAAAAGAGCCCCCGTAAGCCTTCTCACGGGGGCTCTTTTAGTGCTGACGGGGGCTCTTATTTTAATACAAATTTCCATTGGATTGGTACCCATGAAACTCCTAAATTCCTTGGTATTTTATCATTATCATTTATTTAAAGTCGGCATTTTCCCTCTTAGAAATTTACTTGTTACATAGCTGTATACTTTTATCCCCGTGAAGCCGGGCAGGGTGGGGCAGAATGATAGCCAGGGTCTTCGCTCCGGTGATCTTAAGGCAGCAAGAAACGATGTAAAGGATTGAGAAGTCCACAGGAATGGATGAAAGCTTGCCTACTAAATTTAAAGCCCCTCTAATTGGGAGCCCTAACAATTTGATGGCAAAATTTCACTTAAATTGTACCATACTATGAAAGAGGATGTAATTTCAGACACATTTCTGCAAGGATTTGAATCACAAATGTGTTTGAAGTCGAATATTGATGAAAGAATACAAAATTTTGGTTTTCTGCGTACAACAGAAAACCCAAATTGTGTTTTTTTTAAATCAATATTTGTCTTCAAAAACATTTTTTTTTTTTTTTTTTGGAGGGGGGGAGGGGGTCTTTGCAGAAGTGTGTCTTAAATTACACTTTCTCTCTCACATTATGATACAATTTAATTGAAATTTTGCCATCAAATTTTTGTCGAATTTGGGGCTCCCAAAACTTAAGAGGGGCTTTTAAGGTCGGTATAGAAGCCTAAATTACACGCCAATAAACACATTGTTTCAATTGATGATTTCCCACTAACAAAACATTATTTTAATTGATATTCATCAATTCCATAAGAATCTTTGTATATTTCTCAAAATCACCAAACAGTGTCCATAAGATTTGGACTATGACATGTCAACAATTCTTTTCACTTTTTAAAAGACCAGTCATACACATTCTAGTCTTACTAAGACAGACTACACAATAAACAGACCAAAGTTAGTTTGTTAGTTCCACCACCCAATCATAATGTTATAACATTCAATGAAATCATTCTTCGTGAAAAGGTACATTATTGTACACAATTATTCATGCATATAATAGAGAAGTAATGTATGTAATCAAACCCACCAGTATTGTTATGCATAATTTATGTGTTCCCCATAAGGTTTGTCACATTTACTTCTGGATATCAGATAACAATGTAGTATCTGTTAGGGTACAATCGAATTGTATTTATACAAACTATTTACAACACAAACAATTTGTTATGACGTATTTACTTTGTCAATTGAGTCATAACTTATGTACTTTGTCAATTGAGTCATAACTTATGTATACATGTTATATATACATGTACAAGGGGTGGACAATAAATCCTCTTCGATGGATTTTGGATTGGGGTGACGTGAAACTTTTAAATTCTAAAAGGGTACAGTGACTAAAAGATGGTTGATAAACACTGATCTAGAAGACTAAATACCGGTGCCCCCCCCCCCCCATTGACTGAGCCCATGCTACGCCATTAGGCGTAAACTGTATTGTATGCATTGTATTGCGCAAATTATGAACTGGTAGTGACAAAAGGAACAAAATAAGCATTTCATAGCTATTTTCAAGAAAAATGTTGATAGATAAAAGACATAAAAGATATAATCACAAAAAGATGTAATTTTCATAAAAACATTGCGAGAGGAACATAAATTTTTACCACAGTTGAAATATTACAACAACCAAACTGATTTTTTTTTTCATGGCACTGACACTGGCACCGACACCAGCTTGTCATAAATATGTAAATCCATTCCCATGATGTCAGTGCCCTTGCTCATTGCTGGTACCACATCTCAAATTTATTACATGAAGACTATCCTGGATATTCGTTCATCTGTATTTCATGTATAACCTATACCTAAATGATATAACCAGTTCATATATTCAAATAAATCAAGCATGTACTTCAGACAATGTGAAGTAATGTTGTAGACAGTTTTTTTTTCTTCGTGATATCCGTTTATATTCGCAATCTCGGTTGCTTCAAATGTGGATCTATTCTCTGTTTTAACGAGTCTTGGTCATGCAATGCCTGATAGGGCGCATGAAAACCTCGATGATATCGGATGGGAATTGCTTCAGGATTGACGCCCAGGTGGTCGTTTCCCCAAAGGCAATGGTGTAGAGCTGACTGACATTACCTGGTAAGCAATGTTTCAACCACTCCTGTATCTGTGCAGGAATGAAGAGGATGGCGGAGTTATCGTGAATCAGTGTAGAGACATTAGGCTCTACCAGTGATATCCACATGTCGAAAATAGACAGCACTAGAGCCGCCGCTACAATCTTCCTGATTAAATCCATTGAAGACATCCCTGAAAGAAGTTAGAGACACACAAAAATTGAATAACATTTAATTTACGATATAGTGAAATATCATTAGTTTTCGAGTTAATATTTGCCCCTTTACTATTAATAGCTTCTGAATTAGAATTCGTGGTACTAAAATGGCACATCTTTAATAGCATTAGGACGAAGTATCCGTTCATGAACTATTTAGGATTCAGTGAAGAAGTTATACCAACTCCAAACCGACCAATTTGGAGCCTTGGGGGGGGGGGGGGGTAATGTAATTGCTCGGTTTGTGTATAGGCCTAGTTGGTCTGGGTGTCGGTCTCGTTGGTGATACTATAGTATTTTTCGGTAATGATGTTCGATCCATATATAGCATACCTAAGATCATGGTTGGATGAAGGACACATGCCCGCTCCGGAGACTATTGCTCTGCCGTCCGTTTCCTACACTAACACAATTATCAGCTTCCAATCCCAGACTTAACACTATACCTAACACTTACCTTCCACTAAACTTAACTTAAAATCCGATTCCATCCCAAACTATAACCCTACAATGAAATATAGCCAGGAACATAATGTGGGGTATCACCTATATTAAACATGGTGATGTCTGGTAGTCCTTGTGGATTGTGACGACAAATAGGTATGCCCTCTGAATTTTCTTTGGATTTCGAAGAGGTATTCTTACTACATTTTCACGTCAAGAACCTTAATATTACAGGGAATGAACTCCACTTACATTTATCAGCTAAGCTCTCATCCAAGCTGAAGCTCTTGGTAGGGTTCTGAAGCACAGCAACAATTTCACTGCAATCGACCCCGAATTCTTTCTCGAAATCTGTGAGATCCCATGTCCACCAACCGTCATCATCCTGAAATTGGCATAATAATTGGATAGGGAACTAGGTTACCCAGTATTACATTTTTCATCAATCATTACGATTTATTTTTGGTAATAGAAGTATGCAAAAAAAATGTCGTAGTGCAAAAATATCGAAAATAAGAACGCGGTGAAGAAGATGAATGAACAAAAGGAAAATAAATAGACTCAACCAGAATGTTCTTCAGGAATACATAATACATTAAACTCAACATTGCAATTTAGGTTGCACTTGTTCTCAATATTATACCGAATGTAAAATAGCACTTACTGAAATATTGAATACATTTACAAGCAAATCTGGAGAAACAATCCATTATCAATGAATTTTTTGTGGAGGAAATCCTAGAATTGGTATCAGTGTTACGGTCATTTGCTGATTGAATTTTACCACCTACTTACCTCGTTTGATATCTTCAACAAACGCCTCATTGTTTCTATTTCTCGTTCATCTGGATCTTTCACTATCTCATCAACGCTCTCGTCATCTTCCCTATCCTTCTGAGAGGTGGTCAGGTAAGTCTTGTAAGGCGCACAGACATCGAGGACTTGCCGTGCCTGGTCGATATTCTCCTGAAGCTGCTCATCAAGTTCAGACAGTTGGGCTGATTGAACATCACGCATCATCAAGACAGGAAATTCAGCACGTTGGGCCTGTAACATTACTGGAGATGGAGAACGTTCAGCTTCCAACATCACAGGTGACGCGGCTCGTAACTCCTCTTCTTCTGACTCAAGGTTTTTTTTTCTCAACATTGATACTGAAGTTGAATCTTGACCAACATCATCAGATTGCATTTCACTCATCATCAGATCAAGATGTTCAGTAACATCCTGTAACATTACTGGAGATTGAGCTCGTCTTGCTACCACCCTCACAGGTGACGCGACTCGTAACCGCACTTCATCTGACTCAATACGTCGACATACTGTATGTGTGACTGATGGCATCATCTGGACACGGGATCCTGCCTCGTATGGCTCGAGCTCGGAAGCAACTTCCTGTAACATTACTGGAGATGGAGCTCGTCTTGCTTGGACTGATTGAACTGCATGCACCATCTGGACATGAGATTCAGCACGTTGGGCCTGTAACATTACTGGAGATGAAGCAAGTTCAGCTTCCAACATCACAGGTGACGCGGCTCGTAACTCCATTACATCTGACTCAATATATTCCACTCGGGCACTCTCAACGGGTTCTGCCATGGCAGTTGCATATGACCGTTGGACTGATTGAACTGCATGCACCATCTGGATATGAGATTCAGCACGTCGGGCCTGTAACATTACTGGAGATGAAGCACGTTCAGCTTCCAACATCACAGGTGACGCGGCTCGTAACTCCATTACATCTGACTCAATACATACCACTCGGGCACTCTCAACGGGTTCTGCCATGACAGTTGCATATGACCGTTGGGCAGATTGAACTGCATGCACCATCTGGACAGGGGATTGAGCACGTTGGGCCTGTAACATTACTGGAGATGGAGAACGTTCAGCTTCCAACATCACAGGTGACGCGGCTCGTAACTCAATTACATCTGACTCAATACATACCACTCGGGCACTCTCAACGGGTTTTGCCATGGCAGTTGCATATGACCATTGGGCTGATTGAACTGCATGCACCATCTGGACTGGGGATTGAGCACGTTGGGCCTGTAACATTACTGGAGATGAAGCACGTTCAGCTTCCAACATCACAGGTGACGCGGCTCGTAACTCCATTACATCTGACTCAATACATACCACTCGGGCACTCTCAACGGGTTCTGCCATGACAGTTGCATATGACCGTTGGGCAGATTGAACTGCATGCACCATCTGGACAGGGGATTGAGCACGTCGGGCCTGTAACATTACTGGAGATGGAGAACGTTCAGCTTCCAACATCAAAGGTGACGCGGCTCGTAACTCCATTACATCTGACTCAATACATACCACTCGGGCACTCTCAACGGGTTTTGCCATGTCAGGTGCATATGACTGTTGGGCTGATTGAACTGCATGCACCATCTGGACTGGGGATTGAGCACGTTGGGCCTGTAACATTACTGGAGATGAAGCAAGTTCAGCTTCCAACATCACAGGTGACGCGGCTCGTAACTCCATTACATCTGACTCAATATATTCCACTCTGGCACTCTCAACGGGTTCTGCCATGGCAGTTGCATATGACCGTTGGGCTGATTGAACTGCATGCACCATCTGGACAGGAGATTGAGCACGTTGGGCCTGTAACATTACTGGAGATGGAGAACGTTCAGCTTCCAACATCAAAGGTGACGCGGCTCGTAACTCCATGACATCTGACTCAATATATTCCACTCTGGCACTCTCAACGGGTTCTGCCACGGCAGTGTCGTATGGTTCCGCTACGGCATTTGTCATTTTGGCTGAGTGAACTACACGCCGGACAACACGCCGGACAATATATTCATCAGGAGATTGATCTTCTTCCTCTCCGTACATATCAGGCATACTTTCTTGGTCATCGACCTGCATTGGAGCGATTATCATTTCTTCCTCGGCAGACAATGATTCGGAATTGATTTCCACAGCATATTCCTCTGTCTCAATCTCATCTTTGCGAGAAGACGCGTCGATTTGGGCTCGTGTGCCGATAGGGATTGTCGCTTCCACATCCTGCTCTTGTTCTTTCCCAGTCTTTAGGTCTTCCTTCTCGTGGAAGTGCTCCTTGGATCTGTCGACTGCCAATTTAGCAGGTGATGATGTAGCCTTACTGGCCCCTTCTTCTTCTTGAGCTATCTGGTTGAGTAGATTTTTGCATCTGGAAACACAACAATGCAAAGGATATATGATTTATGACTAAATAAGTGAAGTGATATCGATTATGTATACGAATCGCACAAAATGGTCATGGATTTAGAATTAAATTAGAAAGTTAATATTCAATAGATTGCGCTATCTATGTTGTTTCATATTAATTCATGGATGGTATACAATATAGTATTTGTATACCATCCATGAATTAATTAGTTTTTAAACCAAAATTGAACATCTTACATGTGTTGTATATTAAATGGAGTTATGAGCATTGATTCAACGTTGGATATAGGCTAAGGAAAAACGATTTTTAAAGTTATATACATATACCCATATTTTCATTTTTTGCTCATTTTATTGCCGTATATGTATATAACTTTAAAAATCGTTTTTACACTCTTGTCCCTGCAACGAGTGTAAAAATGTAAAGCACTTCTCAGAATGTTCCAAAGCACTGTCAAAGCATGACAACGACAAGATGTCCTACGTCTTGCGTCGTCGAGAATAACCAAAAGAATCGAACACTACCACAAATAAACTCAAAGTCAATTCCTTTACCTTATATTTCCCATAGAAATCCTGTTCGGATCATGTACAGTGTAACATGTCATTGTAATGCTCACACATTTTAAAAGGTGATGTATCGTAGGTTGGTTTCGCAAAAAAGTATTTGCAATTGTGTTATTGACAGAAGGGAGTAAATTTATCATTAAATAAAGTTTTATCGCACTTACATCTTGGCCATGTTCGTGAGTTTCCTGTCCAGCTCAGTGGTCGCTACTGTCTTTGATTCTTGCATGTAGTCATTGAGTACCTCGTTTGCTAGTTGTACTTCGCCCTTCACACGGAGATGAAACCGGGCTAAGGCAAGGCACGCCTGTGAAAGTCATTGATTTAACAAACAAGAAATAGTTATGCATATCGTCTTATTAGTCAATACAGAGAAAATATAGAAATTGTATGTAGTTGTGCATAGCCAATCAAATATACAGTAATATTTATTTTTACCTTGGGAATCGGAAAGCTTCGGCCATTAATATTAGAAATATCAGTTTGAATTTCTGTTCACCTCATTACGAATGAGGTTTGGAAAGAATAAAAGGCAGACGTTTCGTAATATTTGCTCAACAGCTTGGACTTACAAATTGCCCATCGAGATAAAACTGGATACATGCTCATGAAAGCAATGTAATGTCATTTATGTACATTTTCGAAAGGGAAAACAAAAGTTGCTCTATGCAGGTGATGCTTCTAAAATGCACAAAGTGGGACCTTTCATTTTCCCGACGGTTCGTTCGGTTCTTCGGAATTGCGAACCCTATTTTCAATTTTTCAAAATTTTGAACCTTGTTAAAATTTCGGAAATATGAACCTTCGGAATAATGAACCTTCAGAATTATGAATCTTCAGAAAAAAGATATGTAGCCGTTTTAAAGATCCGTGGATATTTGGGATCATATGTGCCAGGAGCTGAGAATGAATTGGTCAATAATTGGTAGAGTGGCACTAACCTTCTTTATAGCTGGATGAAGTGGTTCAAAGGATTTAGTAGCGAGATTCATGGCTTGTTTGTACTGATGCTCAGCCGTGATGAAGGAGAAGGACTTCTGTGCGCTACCCGCACGCGCCAAAGCCTCGTTCAGTTGGGTCATACTGCAGCTCTGAAGTCAATATATATCAAACAAGAGATTGGATACCGTAATACATCACAACAAAACAAAACATAAGAAAACTAAATAGTTTTTTGTGAGGCCCTTCCTGGAGGAAGTACTCAAACTCATTTTTACAATAGCATTGCATGTGCTTATATTTGATTTAGGCACCTGTATTCTTGACTGACTTGCGAATTTTAATGGTTTGACAATGCAAAGAGAAGGGACAGTTGAAGAGTAAATGTCAGTTGTGAAATACGACTGTGGCGTAGCTCTGACAATGGCGGCATGAGGGCACATTCCCCAATCGCATTGGGAAAAAAAACTCTACAGAGAGGATATTTCTTTTTATAAAGAATGAAAAAACAATGTGACAAGTAAACGACAAGTAGACGACTTTCGTTCAACAACCAAATTTGCTCTGAAAACATATTTATTTAATTATTTATTTGATATTTGTATATAACTGTTCCGTTATCATTATCATTATTTTGTCGTTATTAATATTATAATTATCGTCATTTTTATTATTATTATTAGTAGTAGTATTATTATTATCAATAGTAGTAGTAGTAAAAGTAGTAGAAGTAGTAGTAATAGGAGAAGTAGTATTAGTAGCAGTAGTAGTAGTAGTAACAGTAGCAGTAGTATTAAGTATACCGTTTCTATTCCTGTAGATGCCTCCTGAACTACCCAAGGATGATTGGTATGATAAGGAGTTGGCCACAAGCCTTCTAGGATAGCTGTTATCGAAGGTCCCTCGGTATCTTTGTTCTCATCCTCCTTGACAAAGACAAATTAATAATGAGAAGACTGTTATTATGTCGTGAGCCGCTGCAATGCGAGCGAGAAAAATGGTAAAAACATAAATCGACATTCACATACATTATAAATTATCATAATAGAAATTGTATTTATACTCTTGGCACTGGCAGACTGTTGTATCTCAGTCTTTTGATTTAATACTACAAAGATTTCAAAACTAAAACAACGTTGAATACATAACACTTCTTTAATGGGATATGTTTTTTTTAGTTTCATGCTTCATCCTCAGCCTGAGTTTTAGAACAGAAATGAACCTTTAATATAGTCCAGATCATTTAAGTGCTTTGTGTCTCGTTGCTTTTTATTTTTAATTTGTTACTTTTGGAAATAATATAAACCGTTATCTTTAAGTGTTTCAAATTATCGGTTTATAACGCTCCCCTAGAAACGCCGTTACTTCTCGCCCTTTTAAACGGTGATTTAACATTTTAGTTCTTAGAGTGTAGAGCAATTAAGGCCTACCTCATCCCTCTCTTCTATGGCGATAAAGCTGGTGAGAGGAGAAACGATGTTAAACTGAACTCCTAGCTCTATCAGATGTCTCTTCACATCATCCATCATGGCATCATTCTCCAGTCTGTTAGCATGGACAGAGCCAAGCTCCCAGTCTCTCACAATTCCTCGGGTTGCCAGGCGATGTAGAGTCTAAAATTATATGAGAACAGACAGAAATGAATCATCACCATCATCATAGAATGAAGCTTTTCAGGTTTCGTTACACGAACGTAGAGCAGAAAGTGATAAACTAAGGGAAATGTTAGTTTAAAACACACTTAACGGTCATTGTTTTGTCTAAATCTTCCATTAGTTAAACAAAATACATAGAAGTAATTCAACTAAAGGGTAAGACCTAAACTGAAAAGTAATGTCATAATACTTACCAAACCTGTTGAAGTTGGTGTTAGGTCGGCTGTTACAGTGAAAGATTCGGTTCTTCCTTCGATCTCTGCTTCGAGTTCAACCTACATATCCAACAACAGACAGTCATATTGTAATAATATTAATATTCGGTTCTTGTATAGCGCATTTCACATTATGTACGTCCCTTTACGCTTCCAAAGAGCTTTGGGAAGTTTTACTCTAGCTTTAGCTCTGGCAGCCGGCCGTTATCAGCGTACAGTGCATTTTAAGGAATTATCCTACTAGGTACCCATTTACCTCACCTGGGTCGAGTATGGCAAATGCAGATTAATTGTCTTCTAAAGGACATTAGTGCCGCGGCGGGACTCGAACCGCGGACCTTGCGATCCACAGTCCGGTGACGTATCAACTCCAACACAACACAATAACCTATAAGGGTTTACAGTAATCATTATGTAATGCTCAAAAGAATAAATTCTTTCATCATATTTTTTCTTCGACAATAATTAGTGTAGGTTAAGCCTATACATCTCGTCTAAATCACTGGTCGGATTCATTAAAGGAAATAAACACTCTCTTTTTATAAGAGACGTGTCGATTTTAACAGGGACCTTCCTTGGAGACTTGATTTTTTTTTTAAATGTCTTGCAAAGTTGGCAAAATGTACTCCCATGTACTTTACTATGCATGTATAACTGCTTAAATGACGTCATCACGGTAAAGATTAACTCTACTGAGAATTAAAATTACAGTATAAATGATTACCACACCTTTGTAACCTCTGGTCCCATGGCGTAAAGAACCAATCGCGACCCCGTGAAGAGTGATGCAATCTGGGAAGGAGTTTGCACAATCTCCTTCCGTGTCAAAGTTCTTGGTGTCTTTCCCTCTGATGAGATCCAGTTGACTTTGATTGACGTGGCTGCCGGCTGACATGAACGTCTCACCTGTGCTTGTACCTGACAATATAGGTAAAATTAAACCATATAATATTGATTTGATTAGTTGCGGGTTGATTCGAACTTACTGCAGTGAACACGTAGGACAAAACCTGCCGACAAGCTTGCGGTCAAGAACTATGCATAACAAGAGGATCTTCAGATTTCACAATTTGACAGCAAGGGTTTCATAACAAATTAAAGATAACCTTGAGTTCTGGTTAAAAAAAAGAAAATTAATTCTCACAGAATCAAACGAAACTTACACTGAATGTTCAAGATTACAAATAAATGACACGTGCCAAACAATTTTGAAAGAAAATGTGTACTGGCTGAGTAAAGAGCATAGAAAGATAAGGAAATCAAGGTAGTACTAGCCCCGACACCATTTGTGTATTCCCATGTACATTTTTCTGTGTACATTGCTTGTTACTTTACCTAGACTGTGCAAAATTTCTTATGATTTTGATGACTCCAGACCCTTACAGTGCACACCAATACTTACATGCTACATGATCAACTGTTTCTGATCCATTCCACACCTTCTCTTTCACAATGCAATCGCATTACCAGAACTCACCTTTATCTTTAAATTGAGCTCTAAATGATATTGAGGTGTAAAAATTGGACGAGATTATGGACTTGCGCTTATGCGGGTGTGTGGGGGTGTGGGTGTACATGTATGTGACACTGTGTGTTTGTGCGCGTGTGCGTGTGTGTGTTTGGGGGTGATGTGACATCCCTACTCCTCTGTAACAAAGCCTCAGTCATGTAAAATACTGTAAGCATGCGTGACCACAGGTTTTCCAGACACCCCCTAAACAAGGATTTCTTCTGAAGCAAAAATTCACCCTAAATGAGGATTTCGCATTGTATTGTAAAAGTATAGTAACATTGTAACCCCTTGAGCATTTTGAAGTGCAATAGGGATTACCATTTAAGTTGTTCACAATGTAAAATGAATCAAATTGTGCTTCTGATGTAAAATTTATTTCAATAGAGAAGCAATATGTCAACTGTACACTTCCAAATGAGTTTAATGGACAGATGGTAGCCATCATAAGTCCTTTCTTTGTTTTCCTGGTCTGGCCCTGATGGCTTGAAAAATATCCCCAAATGCGTAAACCGGCGCGTACAGCAGGATTTTGAACCATTTTTGAAGAAGTACCTTTTTTGGTTACGGCAAAAATTGGACGTTTTTTAACCACGCGCGGACCGCGTTCAATCTGAAAAAACACCCCTTTATACTCGTTTTCTTGGCCACGCATGCTTACAGTTTTTATATTTGACTGAGACCCCGGGAACAATGCCCCTGATATTCCATGATGCAATTGCAACTGGAATATCAATATTACCTTTGCTTCCCACGTGGATTTGCTCCTAGGGTCAAACTGTTCATAAGCACCACCTCCTGTATCAGCCAGAGTACGCAGAACGTGACGGTTCGAGTCAGAACTGAAACAAAGCAACATTGTTTGTTCACGATTGATAGTGACATTAAATCGTGTTCTTTTTATTAGTTTTGGACAATGGTAAAGTCATCTTATTTTCGAGTTACGGTTTGGATGAAAGCTGAACTCGATTGTAAGGACTTTCGAGGCTACTGAAACTGCCTTAGATCTTGCGATCATCTTGGGGACGTGTTGATGTTTACATCAAATGTCATGAACCAAATCAAATTGATTCAAATCACATCATGTCACATCACTTCACACCACACCACACCACACCACTTCGAACCACACCAATTCACAACACACTACACTGCACCGCACCACACCACACCTCACCACACCACACCACACCACACCAAACCACATCAATTCACATCACATCACAACTAACACCACACCACACCACACCACATCACATCACATCACACCACACAAGATCACACCACACCACATCACTTCAAACCACATCACTTCACTTAACATCACAACTAACACCACACCATACCACACCACACCACACCACACCACACCAAACCACACCACACCACACCACACCAAACCACATCAATTCACATCACACCACACCACACCACACCACATCACATCACACCACACAAGATCACACCACATCACTTCAAACCACATCACTTCACTTAACATCACAACTAACACCACACCACACCACACCACATCACACCACACCACACCACACCACATCACACCACACCACACCACACCACACCACACCACATCACATCACACCACACCACACCACACCACACCACACATATTACATCACACCACACCACACCACACCACACCACGCCACACCACACCACACCACGCCACACCACTTCACATCACATCACACCTCTCCACACCACATCGAATTGCATTGCATCATATCACATAAAATCATAAGTGATCAAGTCAAATCAAATCGTTACCTAACACCGAATGTGAAGAGGCGGTTGATCTGCCGATTACTCGCTACTTCCAAGAGCGTGTCCTGTTCATTGGTCACGTGACCATCAGAGATGAGGAAACCGTTGCTGGTCAGACGAACATCACTGGATGAGAGTAGAGACATGGCTCTCAAAGGTCTCCATACCTCTGTGGCTCCACGCTCCCAAGTCACCGTCATCAAGAACGTTTCCGTGTGCTTGATGTTCTCATCAGTTGCTAAGACGCTGGTTGGGTACAGCTCATCGAAATCTGAATAAAAATGGTAAAGTGGGGAATCTTTACAAACCTAGACCCAGCACTAGACCTGAACTCAACGCCATGACTTTAACGAAATAAAGCCCGGGGCAATTGTTCCTGGATAAAATGTCCGATCATCTAAGAAGACATCTAAAAGGCGATTCAGAAATATCTACAATTAAACTTTCGTCTTGTTAGCGAGGGGCAAATAAACGGCTGCTTTAATACTACTGATTTGAGTCAAAAGATACAATGTCGAGCTTGTGTTTCTATTATATCTCTTCTTGAGTCCATCTCTAGTCCGCGACACTTGATCCCTAACTAAAACTTACATTCGTTGAAGACATAAGTTTTCACATAGTTTTGAACATGTTTTAAAATTTAAAGTTGCTAGATAAGCCTGTTTTCACATTTCTCTTTTGCCTCCTGACACATACCGTTTCCAAAGACGACGAGGTTGTATCGGCACCCTGCTGGAAGACTCTCTAGGATCATATGAACCAACTTCTTTGCATCTTTCATGGGTTGTCCTTTCATGGATGTCGAACGATCTAGCATGATGACGACTTCAGGGTTCGATATGGTTGTCACAGGAAATTCAGGATAGAAGACTACCATACATGCCTAGGATTATTTATGTTGAAAAAATAATCTTATATTTTCGTGTGCGCAGCAATTGTGCACGAAAACAATTTAATTATGTTTCAATACATTTTTGTTGTTGATGTTAAAGTATTAAAAATTTATTCTAAACGATTTAGAATTTCCAGAGATTAAAATGTGCTTTGTATTTGTATATAGTGTATTTTTAAAAAAAATAACATATTTCCGCATCCATTTTTATAGTTTTCCGGGCAGACGCCGATTTATAACGGAAAATAAATCTACGTGCGAGGTCTTACAATATTTAGGCGATTAGGAATCATTTAAAACTACTTTCGCCTCAGTATTGCCAGGCACTCATTGCACAAGCCTCGGTCGTGAGGGACAACAGCAATTAAAATACATTTTTCCACGGATGTAAGAAGTGATGATAACTATGAATGGCAGAAAATGAACACAATGCGATAACCAATTTGTGTTTGAATTTCTAAAATGCATGATTAAATCATGTTTTTCCACTACTCGCCTGTCTCTTATTATCATCAGAGAGTTTCTCCCGCCAAATCCGTGGCTTGTGTGCGTCATCCATGTCAACCAATAGCTGAAGACCGTCCACCAATCTGTCACCGTCACACATTGCTATCTCGAACAGTTTCTCATCTTTTTTCTATGAAAGAGAATAGATAATGTCAGTTACATAATGTTAGTAAATTATAATCATGAGATCATTATGCTGAGTTCAATATAAATGACGGCTAAGTGGTAAAGCAGTAGTCTCGTAACCGGGAGGTCCCAGATAAACCATTCGATACACTAGTGCCCTTTGGTAATGCATTAACCCTCCTTAGCATGTCCCTTGGAGAGGAATCAAAGCAGACAGTCCACTGGTTGTCTACTTACAAACATACCCATCCTTTCTGAACAGTCAGGTAAAACCAAACTATCAATTCATTATCTATTTTAGAACTTGCTATACATTTTACGGTGTCGATCCCCTTTGACTTCAATTATTACCACGGAGGAATGGTACACAAGTAAAGGTACTAATTTAGTGAAATAGTAAGAAATGTGTTGCAGAGCTAGCATGTTCTCACTAAGAACACCATTACTGTGAAAATATCTTTATACATTTTTGTAGATATTTCTATTAGTATATGAACACTGAAAGAAAGGCTTTAGCATACCTGAATCTTGATTGAGTGAGTAGGGCAGTGGACGCTTCTAATATTGGAAGGCATCACAACCCTAGCCATGAAAGATTCACTCCTGTAGAATGAATTCAATCGTCATGTATAGATTGGTATATTTTTCAAAATCTTTTCACTGCAAAAAAAAATGTTACTAACATGGTGCTACATAAAACTTGTATCCATTTCAGGTATTTCCTCACTGTCAACTTGAAATTTTGTTATAAACTAAAATGTATAATCACTGCTTCATAAACTACGTCTAATCTATTATTTATACTGGCTGGAGTCATTGACATCATTTTAAAAGCATTGGTTTCTGGATTTTTCTTCTAAAGAAAGAAAATGTCACTTGAACAAAGTTTGTCTCTCACGATGCATCATCATATCCGAGTGTGATCTCGAAAATGGTTAGGAACTTCAGAATGCTGATACGGGGCTTAATACCTTCCTCCAAATAAAATTTTCTCTAAACTTATGATATCTTGTGATATCGATTTAAAGTTACCTTCTCAAAACCATGTCGGGTACCTACACACTATATTTATCATCTCCAGCGATTTATTTGGGAAAATGTGTAAAACATTGTCGAATTGGATGAAAGGCATGTGAAATTACCTATTTTGCTGGTTCTCGACAACGCCATCTACGGCGTCGCCCTTGTCATCGAACTTGCCGGTCAGGATTTCTTTCTTCTTCCATGGTGCTACGCTACCAAGTAGGTTGAACGCGATACGATCTCCTTCGATGACCAGCTCAGTGACGTACCTGACCGAGATGATGACACACGATCCAGGTGGTAGGTTTCCAACAGTGATCGTAAAGACATTCTGTAAAAGCAGAATTATCAAATTTTCCAGAATAGTAGTGACATGCACCAATCTATCTTAATATATTGACCTTTAAAAGTGATCTACACAATCAATTGAAAGTCTGATTAATCTATTTCAGATTACTGCCCTTCTTCGATCTTTCCCAAACACGCAAGAAAAACAAAATCGAAAACTTGACATCCTCAGCTCAGAACTCTCGTGTTTTATCTCAATATTTCGATTCTTACATTAAATGCAAACTGTAGGGTGATTCTCGTACACATTGTACCTTGTGAGTTTGCAAAAGTTTTAGGGCGATTACCTTTATAATCATTTCCGTTTAGCTGGTCATACCTATAAATACTTAAAATGGTGCCTTGATTGTCAATTCATTTTCAAAGTCTTTTACTGTCTCTCTAAATGTCTGAGTGTGCGTGCTCTCTCTCTCTCTCTCTCTCTCTCTAAATGACACTTTTGAGGACTATTTAATTTCCTTTGCGTTTTTTTTTCTCTGTCTTCTATCCGCATGTTTCTTCTTCTTGTCTTATTCCACTAACCGTCGCTTCTTCTTCCATGAGATAAGCTCCATGTCCTTCCTGTTTGGCCTTGTCGTACGACTTCCTCGCTTGCCCCTTCTCCTTGACGATCCCGATGACGCGCTTGCCATTGATATAAGCATCGAATCCGCACACCGCTGCTCGCTCGTCAAGAGGAAAGACATAACGGGTGTCTGCAGTCTCTTCACCAACGTTCCGGTACTTCTGTAGAACAATTACCTTTAACAAAAATCATTGAGAAATAATATATATCATACTTTCCCTCAACAGCAATCATGAAATTATAGATCCGAAGGTTGATTATAGAACGGACAATCGATGGTCTCAATCTAATTGAAATAGTTTAAACAATTGTATTCTTTTGATTGGATTTTTGTTTCGATACCTATCATATTACTCCAATGTGTTATGTTATCGGTTTTACAGTTTTACTCGTTTGCTTGTTGTCGCTCTAGTTGAATATCTGCAATTAACTGTCTTATTGCTTGTTTGTTTTGTACATTAATTTGTTAGATATTTATTTGTTTGACTATACATGTACATATTCATTGCCCTACTTCTTGCATTTGCAAGTGTTACATATTATTGTATAATTCACTGTATATTTATTGTTATTTTATGTATGTGGACCCCTTTGAAAATCAGCTGTGCTGAAAGGGCTATCCACCCTATGAGAGGAAATGAATAAATAAATAATAAATAAATAAAATGACAGTCATGAAATTGTCTTAGATTTAAAGACGATTTGGCAATTCATTCCTACTAGGAAGTTTACAATGTGCCAAATTCTCATTCTCAAATTTTCAGTATTAACAGCATTAGGCCTATTCAGAGCCACAGCAAGGAAAAGTATAATATTGGTCCATATCTCCATGTCATATAAGTACGATTTATTAATCGCACCGCAGTCAGACGGTATTCGGGTCGTTTAGTGTATGAATATTATAATGAAGTTCATTTGTGTCTGCTTTGTTTTTGTTATACACTGTAGTTGTATGTTTCTGGACTCCATGTAAGACCAGTCGTGTTATGATGACTTTGTGTTTGCATGTATATATTGTATATGATTTATATTTTAATTGAACGGGAAAATGGCCGCCACTACTACTTCTACTACTACTACTATAGACTTAAGATCAGACAAAATTTTCTAACATTATAATTACCTCTGCTGCCAGGTCGATGATTGATGCTCTGACGTGGACAGCTTCTAATTCAACTTGACCTTCCCCTGTCGTATTGAGACCTGCTTTGACCTTTGCTTCAGGATACACCATCCCTTGGACATCCAGAATGTCTAACAAGGAGAGAAAACAGTTCGAGTTAAGATACAGATTCAACTCTCTAGAAGGGGCATGTGTATATAAGTGCAATACAAGCGAAGTTTTATTTGGTGACGTAGGACTGCGTCGGTAATTGGCGCAGTCTCTGACGCACCATGTGAGGGTGACATCCTTTAAAACAAGGATCCAAATTGAACAGTGCATTGTTTTACTAGTGGTGTATGCAACAATAACTAACTCCGTAGGCTTGATTAGCACGGGAAATAGCACAATTTAAAGGACGCCTCGTGTGCGAAGGGAATAATGAGTTGTAAATTTGAAAGCACTGAAAATGTGGACGAACGCAAGTGAACTAACATCATTCCTCGAATTCAGATACAATCAATAAACATTCGTCAGTTTCTTCAGCGTAGATGTGTTGACCATTTATTTAATCTAAAAATATTCTTTAAAAACAACATTCTAATATTTACCTATTTCGTCATCGATGTCATCATCAGAGTCGGTATCTTCGGTGCTACTATGGTCACTCACCGAAGCCTGTGATGCCGAGGTAGTCTGGTTGTCGGTCTCATCAGAGTTTCTTTCTGTCAGCTTGAACTCGACGAGGTAGCGAAGGCAGTGCTGGTTGGCTTGGTATACGACATACTCGTCGTCCTATTTTTGGTTTTCACAAATGAAAATAGGGGTGTTTATCTTGCTTTACAAGAATTTTGTATACGTTAAAATGTGGGTGTAGTGCACGTTACAAACAATAAATCGATTACAAACAAAAGTATTCACAATAATTTTCCGAAATCAATATCTGACAAAAATTAGTCGAATTCTTTATTTCAATCCTGGACTCGACATGATTTACAAGCCTAGCCTAAAACCCAAATCCCAAGCCGTACAGCACCAACTATTTTTCTAAGGCGTATAAAACTTGTACCAAATGTCGGATCACCCATGACCAATATTAATTCAACTTGCTTTAATACCACAGCAGCCATCTACTGGCAGAACTTGTAATCGTATTTATTAAGTGTAATGAGATGATTGTGGATAAAAACAATGTAATCATAATGTCATAATCAAAGTCCCAGTTAATCATTTTAATGGCTGGAAAATCGGAATGGGTTTTGTAAGATTTGTAATATCAAATCATACCACGAAGAAAGATTCAACTTGGTCTGTCTTCCTAACTCCATGAACGCTGTTAAACCCGTCAGGCGCACTCTCAATGTCTGTCCTCTTTTCATAGATATCCTTGCTCTCCCCTAGAGCTACGTTGTTGACTGCCAAGAAACGAGTGCCTGTAAACTTCCCAGGTGCGGAGTACTTCGCACAGGTGCTAATTACGAACAAGGTAAAACAAATATAATAAAGGATTAATACAAGTAGCTCGATATAACAATTTATAGGTTGGTCGATTTATTGATGATAATTATGATTACAAACATTTCCAAATACAAATACACCTGTCCCTTTCACTCAAAAGATTCCACGAGACAACAAAAGGAAATCGTCATAGTAGGAGGAATATTGTTATGTACTTTGAAAATAGACAAATGCAGGAATAAAATGGTTGGATATGTGATTTGGTGATATGGTCATCACAATTTGTCTCTCTATCTCTGCCCATAGCTTTGAGGCCGTTGAGGCGACAATAAAATGGACATTGAGACACAAGTTCTCCTTAATTTTCTGTCTTCAGTTGTTCCAGTTAGCTGCCATTCCCGTCCACTGATTGATGATATCAGTCCATCGATCTCTTACTCGGTCTGCCCCTCTTTATTCTCCCATTGGTTCCTCATTGCAAGATGGTCACAACCATTTCCATTTGAAACTATAATCATAATGGCGTATTCAGTGTACGAGGAATCCTTCATATCCCTAACCCACTCCCTCTTTTCTTTTGAAAGCCCAGGAGAACAATGCAGCTTGCCATGGCTCTACATCAGGCTGCCATATACATCAGGATTCCAATCGTCTCGATCAATTTCCTGATATCGCCGATGTAATAGGATTATGATGACATGTGTAACATCTATATTTGGCATGGGACACGCACCACGTGCACTATAACTTTCAAACAAAATGGATACTTTCCAATGTGTAAATCAAAATTAGCAGGGCCCATGTTGCTATATTTAAAATGGGGCTGAGCATGCGAACGATAATTCATGTAACAGAAAGATAGACGCTAGAAGTAAAGTTTTGTCAGGATTACCTCATACAATCGCCGAAGTAGATTCCACTCCCAAGCATGCCTGCATCCCAACGATCTATTCCAAACATCTCGACCACGATCTTTGGTAGCAGGATACCGCTGTAAAATGATCGGTCAAATTAGTAAAGCAGCTACTAACTTAGTGTTTTCACTGATATTATAAAATCAATAATGTGCCAGATCCAACTGAATCGTGAAAATTATCATAGGGGAACATGGTGTTTTGGATTACTATCTTTTTTAATCGAAATCTACCTCAGCTCACTTGATCTAATCTGCAAAGACATCATTTAGATATATTGGATAAATTTATTTGAAAGAGTTTTATACTCTTGCCTATAAATTTTGAAGTATATTTTGTTACCTCTTTCGTGAATGTATTGTGAGAATATAGATGTAAGCTTTATTTATCAACAGTACACCACATTTGTAACAATTATTTCATTAAAAGAGAGGGGAAATGCCAACTTTATAGGCATCAGTGTAATTATCATCTACATGACTGTATACTGCTTTCTATATGACATATTTACCGAGATAGGATTCCGAGGAAGTTGCAAGCCTTGGATGCGTGGAAGAGGAGTCGTTCGTTGCCGATGGTTCTGTTGAATTTGAACTCATCAAGGGCCCGATTGACAGCAAAGATTCGTTGTATCGAGACCTCATCATCACTGAGTGAGAGAGATATCATTTTGAGTGATGAGAGATTCAAATATTCCTTAAATTACTGCCGAATTGGTTTCAGACCCATTGTATACTATTGGGAATCGTCCTGGCTAGCTGTTAAACAATATAACATGCGCAGAGCTAATAGATTTTTTTTGTTCTTGAAATGCCCAGTCACTTCTCAAAATCATACGAAAAATGCTTAATAGATCTCATTCAAGAAACAGACAATAGAACATGTAGATGTTAACACGAATCATTACTCTAAATTGCGTTGATATTTGCAATACCTCTTGTATGCCCTGTTGTGGAAGTTTATGAAATGGGTTTACATGTTTATTTGCAAATCTGAAAAAGCAAGAGGATTTCTTTTTTAAATATACAGAATATGAAATTAACTGTTTTTTAAATGATAGAGTACCCTGCTGATAAGAAGGAAAGTAGTAAGTAAGAATAGGCAAGGACATAAAGAAACGTTGAATTACCTGAGATATATAAGAAAGGTGGAAAATGTGGGGTATAGTTATCAAAAGTCCGAACTGAATGTACGGGTGCGTACTTGTATTATTTAAGTCCTTTACTTTGTATTGTTAATTTATGTGCATTATCTTGTTATTGTTTGTTTGCAGGGCCCCGATTACAAGCAGATTTCTGCTTCTTAGGGGTCCTAACCATTATATTGTATATTGTATATTGTATTTTCATTGTAAATTGTTTTTATACTGGTTAAATAAATGAAATGAAATGAAAAAAAAAATAGAATAACACCGAGATTCCTGTTTATGTTTGAGGTCAAGAATACGTCAAATTAAATATAAACATTAAATACAGTAACTATTCTACTGCTTACATGGGTTGAGTAGTGCTCATGACGAGTTCTTCAACTTGCTTGTATTCTGGATGATCTGTATCTAAGCTCTCAATATAACACCTCATGGCCCGATACTTAGATTTGGCTGATGGTTGTTTCTTCCATCCTAGTGCCTCGTTCACATTTATCACGTCTTGGATCAGCTAGGAGATTGAAATGATCCACACAATTATGAGGTGTTTTCTCTTTATATAGATTAGATGAAGAGCTAGATAACTATTTGAAGCATTGTTTTACAATAACATATCAATCCTTGCTTTCCCTGATTACATACAAACTAATGCTATTACTAGCGATGTGGTTTGTGACGTAAATGTTAATGATGAGTGTGAAGGACCCGAACATTATTGGTAAAAGGTATTTCTTACTTTATAAACATTTACTCATAAGTATAAAACGGTAGAACAATATATATAAAAAGGGAAAGCTTATTTAATGGAGGGAAAAGGTGCGTTTCAGTCATATCCTTTTTTTAAAACTGATCTTTGTGGAAAGGGAAAATTCGCTTACTTTAGGGGTCATGGTTATAACAAATTCACACACATATACATGTATATTCCAACATTCCTATTAAATATGATGAGCACTGAAATGGGGATAAGGGTACGAAAAAGGAGCAAATAAATCAAAAGAATCATCTGCTGAGAACCATGCAGAAGGTAATTAAATCAATATGTTTCCTCTTTTTCGGGGGTGTTCTTCTTGTTGTTGGTTGTTATTGAAGTGTTCAGTCAAATATGCCCATTCACGCCTAGTCTGGTTCTTTAGTTTAATCAATCAACGTAGTCGAGTCGTATACTTCCTAGCTTGGAAACTCTTTGTGGAGGGGGGGGGGGGGTATTAAAATTAACGTCACAGATTTTGATTTTAAGTTTTAGTGGTAACTTTTTATCCTCACTGTGTTTTCACAATAAAGTAGATAGATCTGCTAACGTCTCCTGCAAAACAATCGCAAGTACTATATTTTTTTTAATATAGTATTTTGAATTTTGATATCAACTATTGTATGTCCCATGTAAATCATGCTAGGATTACGTAATATCTTATTGCAATGTTCACACATTTCAAAACACGATTTTGTTTTTCCTTCTACCTGACAGAGGTCTTGTTTGACCGCGACCATTCTCATATTAGTGAGATCATTTCTGCACTCGGCCTTGTATGGTATCAGCTCATGAAACTGCTCACTCAGTCCGTGAATCACCGAGTCATCCTTCGTTTCCTTGTCAAGGAGGGCGCGCTTGATCTGCAGGAGAACTGACTCGGCTTTCTCGACCTAATTCAGTGAAAGGTAAACAAAATGGTCATTCCCACAGATTGGGTATAGAGTTAAACCAAAATATATTCTCACACTTTAATGAGCTGTTTTCTTTTTAATGAAAAGCTTTATTACGAGCAGGAATTATACTCTCATTTTGAAAATAAGACAACGATCAATCATAATACATAATTAAAATGAGAAGATTCGCACCAAGTTCAAATGGTTTCTTAAAAGAAATTCACATTGACCCTTCAAGGCAAACACATATTGGTAAAGTCTTATAAATGGTGGGCAGTTTGAGTCCCAGCCACGGCACTCATGCCCTTTGTCAACACATACATTCATTTTTCACTCTCCACCTAGATTTATAAACATGATAGGAAATTATTAATTCCAAGCTTTTAGTTCCGAAGGGTAATGATATCAGTAGTATTTCATATGCGCCTTGAGCATCCCGTGGGATGTACATTAAATTGTGCCCAAAATACAATCATGTAGCCTATTAAAATAACGTTATGTAGAGTTAGTTGTTTTATCTATTGCTTAAATTTGGGGTATCGATATGTTACCTTCCCGAGAGGTATAGCTTTGACAGGGACTGTAAGGACCTCGGATAGCTCTCCCATCGATTCCTTCCAAAGATTGTCCGCAAGTCGAGCTACCTCAGAGGAAACCTCTCCTTTGGATGCTTGAGACTCCAGGAGACGCTGAAAGAAAGGAATAGTAACATAAATTAGCAATAAGAATACTGGCCGAATTAGGATTTTAATATTGTTAAAATTATAGGCGGGTCAAGGGGCAGAAAAGACCCCCATCTTCTTCTCCCATTCGCTTTTGACAAGGGAAAAGGATAAAAACGTGGAAAATGTTCGCGTCAGGGAGAATTGATTTGCTTCTGGCCCGAGTCTCCCATATCCGAGGAAAAAAAAACTAATTCAGTCAAAGAAAGTTGTGCTCTAACCCCTCTCCCATCAGCAGGTCTGGGAGGGGCTGCGGGACTCCTAAAATTATGTTCCATCCTCCACACCCTCCCCCCCTACAAAAATAGATACAAAATATGGCGCATTCCCTTTTTGACGTTTCTAGATTCGCACCCAATATTTAAAGAATGGAAGAAAAATAGAAAAGAACAATAACAAAACTGCTCATATGAAATTATAAAAGGGACAGAGAAAAAGGAGGGTGGGGAGGGAATAGAAAGAGAATTAATTGGTGCGACGACCAAGCCGGTCATTATGGTAACAATATAATGTTTCTTCCAGGATTTGCAGAGCAATTTAAAATGCAGTACTATAGAGACTTATTCTTGGTATTTAATTCAATACATTACTATTAAAGTAATGTTGATAAAATATGAACATAATGATCATACCTTTGTGAGCACATTGGATCCGAGCCATCGAGAAAGCATCGTCGTAGTTTTCGTCATGTTGTGAGGTTCAGAGGCCCAGATGTCATGTTGCTCCTGAAAGATCTTCAAAGCTTCGGGACCAGTCTTGGCTAAGTAACTCTTCTTGATTCCTGAATTCTCATCCTGACGGAGAGAAGGAGAAAGAAAGAAAGTTAGAGAGAGAGAGAGAGAGAGAGAAAGAGAGAGAGAGAGAGAGAGAAAAGAGAGAGAGAGAGAGAGGGGGAAGGTGGAGGGGGGCAAAGAACAAGATTAATTGTTTCATGGATGAGAAAAGAAAAGCCATCTTGCCACGTTAGAATGAAGGAGACAATCGTTTTGATATGTTTCTCCCAAACATTGTTCTTTTCCTTGAAAGAGTCTCTATCATTTTGGATTAAATTTTCTGTCACACGCTCAATCACGGATCTACCCGTCATGCAAACAAACCTCGCTTTAAAAATTTCCCGGTTTTATGATTATCATGTAAAAGTGGATCAGTTATAAATTAAATAATTCAAAGATCGTTGCGTCATCCAGATGAGGCGGCGGAGTGACTTCCAAAGTGGAGGGGGGGCACCAACAAAACACGGCACTTTCTGGAAAAAAGGGCACCTTCAAAGAGAAATCTCAAAGCGAGTATCTCTCAGAATTGAATAAGGTCATTTACAAAAGATGTATAGGGGCATCTTTGAGAATAAAGAACTATTTTCATAGGTAAAAAGGGGCATTTGTGAGAAGGTGCTCTTTTTTAATGGGGCACTTATCATAAGGAAAAGGGGCACTTATTAGAAAGGAAAGGGGGCACATGTGAAAATATGAGGTGCGTTTATCCGAGTTAAAAAGGGGTACTTATTAAAAGGGGAAGGGGCACTTCTTACAAAGGAAGGGGGGCACTTGTCAAATCAAAAGGGGTACCTCTCATATTTGAATAGGACAGTTATCTGAGGTGAAGGGGGCGCTTATCAAAAGTGAAAAAGGGCGCTTCTCGTACTTGAAAAGGGGCACTTACTAGAGATTAAAAAGGGCACTTATGAGAATGGCAAATGGACACTAATATTGCATAGGACAATGGGAACTTGTTGAAGGAAAAGGGGTAAGTGTCAAAATAAAAGGGGCACTTATCAGAGGTGGAAAGGAGAAGGGGCACTTTTTAAAATTAATAGGGGCACTTGTCAAAGTAAAAGGGGCACTTTTCTTTTGAAAAAAGGGGTACTTGACGAAGTGGAAGGGCACTCTTCCCCCCCCCCCCCCCCCCCCCCCCCGGAGCGCTGCCTCTGGCGTCATCACTTATGCGGAAGAAGCGTCATTTCGATTGCGTTATTAACTTCGCTAATCGAGCTAGCTGCAAGTTGCAAGTTGCCAGTTGTTGGCAGCGTTCATTTTGCAATAGCTTTAAAAAAAATGAGATGATACTCTCTCATGGAGTTTTATAGAGGGGCCACACCAGTCACTGACCCTGTTCTGTGCGTTAGACAAATGATGCCTCATTTGCAAGGGGTTTAAAGAACTAACTTACCAGTTAAGCATTAATCAGTTTAAATGTCTGAACCTGTCTGAACGTAATACTGAATACTAACCTTTGTATCAGACACAGTGCCTTGATGAGTGTAGACTCGATACTTGTAAGGGCTGACTTTTGACCTTGTAATCGACTGACCCTGAAGAACCACTGTGATCTTGAGTGTTGTATGAAGCTCAATAGAGGTAAACTGGATATCTTCATCCTCTATTTCTTTCTGAATTGAAAGCGTTGCAAACAGAAGCAATTTCTTTCATGTTAGGCTAGGATGTAATACGATTATGTTACCGACATCAAAATAATGTAAACTACTTCAAACGGAAAACGGCTGTGGCAGGTTTATCCATGCAGGAGGAAGCTAATAGGCCCAAACCCCTTTTTTCGGTTTAAAAAAAAATCACCAGCTCCCCATTCCTCCCTTAAATTTGTGCAAACCTGGAGAGCTAGTCGGTGACAATACGATATGCCAGGGCCTCTCTCGGCTTCCTAGAGATAGTAGAGTCTTTTGCGGTTGTCAAACGTATCGACCTCGACTAAAATAGCGATTATTATCATACAGACTTTTATAACAATGTGAAAACAAATTTGTTGTGTAAGATTTTTGCCACTTTGTTGGAATCGCAATTTCGTTTCATCGTTGTGATAGATTTGTGTCAGATTAGTGAAACTATTTTAGTCTTCGAGTCATCGAAAACATCATTGTTGTTAATATTGTAAAAAAAATAAAAAAATAAACACAAAACCTATACAGATAAGAAGCGAGCGAGTATTCTCACCAACTAATAGATGGCTATTCTTTGATAAATTATTTACTCACTTTTAAAATCACATATTTGACCAGCTCACACTTGCTTTCATCAAAGTCATCAGTGATTTCGTTAGACATTTTGTTTACATCGACACTGTGAAGAAAAAAAGGAGAGGAAAAAGAAAAAAGGCAGAGGCAGAATGCGACAGAAGAGAAGGTGGGATGGAGAGGGAGAGAGAGAGAGTGATAGAGAGAGAGAGAGGGGGGAAGAGAGAGAGGGAGGGAGGGAGAGAGGGAGGGAGGGAGAGAGAGATATAGAGAGAGAGAGGGGGGTAAAGGAGGGAACGTCAAAAGAGTGAATAGAGGGAAAAGGAGAAAGTATTAGGTGAATACACCAGAAGATAGAATCAAATTTGTTACTAATTTGAAAAAAAGGTTTCCAAATTAGGAATATAGCAATAATGTAACAATAGGAAGAAAGTGGAAAATATGTGTTTCGAGAAAATACAGTCATCCGGGACAGGAAATTATTAATCATTTCCCTCAAACTTTCGACATTAATTCAACACGCATTAAAACAAAATGAAAGTCAAGTCTGCAAATTACATGTTTTAAAACAGATAGCTATAGCTCATCCGAATAATATTTTGAGCTGAGACTATTAAATAGGCCCATAAATTTGAAGTAATCATGTGTAACTACAATAGTAATCTAGTTGAACAAGATTACAATGTATATGTTCGCACACAGAAAACTAGATTCAATTTCTGAATGTACTTGCAAATGATAGCATATAATTATTTATTTTCTTTTATTCTATTGATTAATTATTGATTTATTTATTGATTGATATGTTTATTCAATTATTCATTTCGACTTGAAATGTTACCTTAAACGGAGAGGGAGCAAAATAAAGAGCGAGCTGATCCATACCTACTATAGAAGAAAAAAAAGATCAGTAGAATTCTACTGATGATCAACCAAGCACCACTCCATAATCCCTCGTAAAGCATGTACAAGATTCATGCCATAGTAAATGTACTATGTCCCTTTTGCAGCCAACATCAAATTCTGAAGAATTTTGCAAAAATTATGAATATGTCATGTATGTCCTATCTGTGAAATTTAAACGTTAGCAGTGTCCTAATATTCAAGGAGACTCGTTTCCTCGCTGACTTCACTGTCAGACACTATTAAGTGACGGAGTGGCTTTTTTCTTCTTTGGTAATAACATACATAAAATAAGCTGTAAAGGGTAGGCCTACATGAGCATTTGTCTACATCAATAACCCACTTCTTGTAATGGCCAAAATCAAACTGATTGAATCTTTGCACAGCGTAAAACGTACGACCATTCGGTACAATGGTCTGAAAATCAGACTATTACTTACTGGCTCTATAGCTCTTAATTCGATTCGACAACTAATAGTCGTTATTTCCCCCACTTAAAGACATTTTCAAGCCCCCCCCCCCCTTTTTTTTTTTTTTTAGGAAAGTTCTAAATTAGTATTATCTTTCAAATGCCGTTGGAATTTAACCTTTTATTTTTGGGGGCCTGTGGAAATGGGACATAGTACCTTTAAATGGATATAATTATATGCCTACTGCGCTCCGAAATATTGAAAGTTCTAATTCAAACTTTATTCTGTTAGCAAGGTTGGCATGTGTTAATGTGTTCAAGCCATGATGGGTTATCAATTAAGAATTCACTCCTGCCAATCAACTTGCATAACTGGTTTGCAATGCAGAACAAAAGTCACGGTCGATGTTCTGTGATACGATATGACACGATATGACACGATATACTCAAAGTTTATACGTGTATATGCTGCCATGCATATGAAGTCAGTACGAAGCCCTATAGGCAAAAGCCCCGGGCTAATTCGCTATGTATAGGCCTATATTCTTCTCTAACAAATTCGCAATTCAAATCATGATTGCATTTTTTTTTATCACTAAAGGTGAAGGGGCCATTGAAAATGTATTTACATCCCATGTTCCATGCATTTCTCCTAGCCTTCCCTCCCATTGTTGTCTTCTCGCTTCAGAAAATGTTAAGAATGTTTACAGGGATAAATGCATTTTAGCACTATCTGAGAAATCAGTTTTATCTGAATTTCCACATGTCTTTGATTGATAGGACTATATAAATTTTCTTACATTCGATAGGGGGAAAAGGTTAAAAATGAAAATATAAAATATAGCAGGTATACCGCTGAAGAATAACAACGTTTGGGATATAGCAACGCAATCTGAATCATATAACTACATAGACCATAAATCATGAAAACAGTTGTCACATTATTTTAATAAGCAATAACAGGGCTACATCAATACTATTCACGTTTGAGTGTGAGTCAAATCAACACGAGCCGGTGTGGTAGGCGATTTGTTCCGGGTTCCGCGGAACAGATCGGCGCGCCGATTTGTTCCTCGGAACGAATCTACTGGATCGACTCGTTCGCAGATACGTTCGAAAGCCGCCGTTCTTATCCGACATTGGCCGAACGTTTCTGCTTATATAATCGCGTATATTTTTATTACTTGTGTCGAATAAACATGGTAAAAATAAATTTTAGCTTTATCTTGATACTTTTGTATTTATTGTTGCAATGAAAACCAATATTATTTATTTTTTGTCGGCTAGTACCAAGGGTTGAAAATTCAACAAAATATGTCGGCTTTTTCTTTTATTTCTTTTTTTTTTATTCTGCCGGACACGTCTTTTACTTGAGGAATTTTCTTTCTCTTCATTTCTTTTTTAAAATTTTTATTGGTCCTTCTTAATTATCAGCTCGACCACTCATTTCTTTTTGTGTTGACCCCGCCCCCCCCCCCCACCCCACCCCGCATCTCTTTCATTTAAACTAGAGTCTACATGTACATCATGCATGCAGCCCACATGCATAATTAGATTCTGTGATGATCGAAGCCCGGTAATAGGTGGTTGACGTAACACGATATCATATAAAGCAGCATTCAAACCAAATTAGAAGGCCTGATTAGAAAACACCCCGACATCTGCTTTTACAGGCAAACTAAGCCTATGGCGCGCAACAACTGCCCTTTTTGCTAGACCACCCAGTCCCCGTCGCTTCGCGACGGCGCTGTTTGTGGTCAATCATTGGCCGCAATTATCAACATATTTGAACAACGGGAATCTGCATTTCTATACAAAGTTCTCAAATTGGCAATCGTTGGCGTATCTAATTTGGAGAAGTTTGATTGGTTGCAAAGGCCGACCAGAATAGTTCATTTTGCTTTAGGCCTACCAGGAAGCTGTAATGAATGGAGATACCGTCTCGAAAGAATTTTCCGAGGGAAAATTATTCAAGATTAACCTGGCTTAACAAAAAGAAATGTAACCCTCTCCAGCCATCATTTCCATCTACAGCTGTCCATATCAATGCACAGTCCCTCTCTGGCATTCCAAATAGTACGAAATGTTACGCAACGCCATCTGCTTCCCTAAGTTCTCTATTCACTCGTTTGCAAAAATATGCAAGCATCGGGCTTTGAAGCCATGCGTGGCACCGACAAATTAAGTCATGTTCATGAAAGATGTATTTATCTATAACATATAAAATGCAGAATTCACAACATTATGACCAATGCAACTTTATATTAGTCATCAAATGCGTTTTCCGTTCTCGGATAGCTCTACTGAAGACATGGCCATTTTAACCAGCGAAATCGACCAAGGAAATCATGAGTTAGAGCGAATGAAAGATTTTCATAATCATGATTTTCTCATCTAATTATTGACATTTTCCGAAAATTTCCGAAATTTGTACATAGCTAGAAAGGTAGTCCAAAGGTTTATCTTCCTAAAGAACTAAATGAAATTGTGTTATATGTTTGCGCATTTATTGATTTAGGGCTAGAAGTTGTCAAGTTAGCACCACTATTCACCCAAAGTACGGGCCGGCAAAGCAAAAGCCGCCGTGCTCGCTGGGCTGGGCTGTGTGTGGAAAGGGAGGACTTAGTGCTACTAGGGAGCTGTAAGGTTTTGGAGGGGGATTAAGGGGATTACGGTAGGGGAAACAAAAGACGCGCGGTGCCACGGATGACTTCAAAGGGGCCTCTTGTACGGGATCTCCATTCATTACAGCTTCCTGGGCCTACCATGGCGTGTATTCAATAATACGTGAGCACGCACGCTCTCCGATGAGATTCGGAACGGATCGCCTGGCCGGAACCGATCGCCTGTGACTAGCGGAACGAATCTACGAATCCGGAACAAATCGGCGGGTACATATCCAGGCGATCGGTTCCGGAGGAACCGATCGCCTGCACGGAACAAATCGCCTATGACACCGGCCATGAATAGTACAAGAATGATCATATTCCAAAATTGTATTTATTGACCCATCCATGGGCGGGAAAATCTAACTTAAAACCTGGGTAAATTAAATTAGTCATAATGGCTATTGTAGTATACCGCGGTGGCATATCTGAATCATCACCGAACTGCTTGCTATTAGTTTAGAGCTGTTTTTTCTTCTTCTGTGTATTTAGATTTTTATCTCTATGAGACTATGGAATTATTATTGCATGAAATAAAAACCGGGTCGACACCTTGATAGGCTGACAGTTTCAAACAAAATATTAAATATTCATTTATTTATTTCATTTATTTTTCCATTAAAAATAAACATGCATATACAAAACAATGTACATTATAAAATACAAAGGAGTACAAATTCGTGACATAGGGGGAAGTAAGATCATAAACCGGTATGCGGAGCTAGGGACCATTAAGTTTAGTAAGACGTGTATAATTATGTACTCTACCAAACTAAATTACTATATGACAAATAGGGTAGAATCAACAGTATAATTAATGAATTATTCAGAACTAACATTACATAGTATCAAAAACGAATAAGGAAAAAATAGGAACAACTTACCTCATTGTTTTGATGTGATTTGACCCACCAAGAACGAAATCTGTTTACTCCTACCAAAAAACAAAAAACAAAAAACAGATTTGATCCTGATTTTGAGCACAATCCAAACTCGTACGTTTGGTACCAATTCGGATGCGACTATATTAAACCTGACCCAGTTTTTCGTTCCATCGAATCATTCACAAAGCTCCATAGATGCACAAACTTGCTAAAGTTATTCTCTAGCTGTCACTGCCATTCACGGTCCTACAACACTTCTCTTATAGTCAGGAAGTTTACCTCTTGTGTTTATCCAAGCGTGTAACCGATAATTAGCATATCAACTTGAAATAGGATGTTTGTCATTAACACTGTGCGTGTGTGTGCGTGAGTGTGTGGGTGTGTGATGTGTGCGCATGCGTACGTGTGTTACAATTGTCAACAATAACAATATCTTATTTAAAGCGGATTATTTTCGCTAAATGGTATATCAATAGCGTTTTCAGTATTATGGTACGATACCGAAAGCCTCAATAATGGTGAATACTCACCCACCATGGAGGCCTACAGACTGAGAACAACTCGCACTTGACATGGTGATATCAAAATGAAATTGAAAGTAAGAATGTGGGAATAATCACCAGGTTGAACTATTTTGTGCCACAAAAATGTTTTAAGAATATTGCAGGATTGGTTATACTGTATTTGTCATATAGTAATTTACTTTGAGGGAGTACATATTATACAAGTCTTACAAAACTAAGTGTTATGTTAAATAGGTTTATTCGCATTATGTCCAGAGTGCATCCTATAGGACGAATGTAAAACAAGTATAATCTGATTTAAAAATAATGATTTGAAGTGAAATCGCACAATATTAAGAGTACATGTTTATTTATTAATCTATGAATTATCCCTTCTCATGTATCTAGACTGTATTAGCACGATTATGCAGATCGTTTCACCTTTTGCATTTACCTAAACATCGAACTATATATCATCGACATTCTCTCTATTGGTCCCAAAATTTGGAACTGTTTATCATCGTTATGTTAAAGAATCTCAGTTGAACTGTTTTAAATAGACATTTGAGAAAGGCATATTTAGTTCTTTTGTGTGGCAGGTGTTCCATGTACTTCTTCTTTTTGTCATGTATTCTTGTTTTGGGTCGTCAACCTCTGTATATGTACGTATGTCCTATTCTTTTCACCCCAGAGTCAGTGTATTTTTTGCCAATGTATAATTTGTATGTAAAATATATGAACATAATTATATTTTTTAATACAGCACTCTCAACGCAAGCGTTTAAGTTTCCACTTGTAAATTATGTTCACTATATAATTGATTATATAAAAGATTTGGAATACAAATGAAACTGCATGCAGTTGTTATAATCTGTGAATCTGAATATCCGATTCAGCAGGAAGTATGGCCCTTTCCACACAAGCTTTAATGCTTATATTGCGTGATACAGATAACGAAGGTCAATGTAGCACTGAAGATTTCAGCAGATTATTTACCAAGTATATACCTGCAAATCATGCTAACAATGCAGAATATAACCTTGACATCTCTCTGAGAATCTGGACTCGATTTTATGTGGTCATTCATCTAAATAATATCATTTTCCCTGGCACAATATCCGGCTATACTCACATTTCAAGGCTAATTTACAAAGGTATAATTTTATGTGAAAAACTTACTTACTTAAAATACTTACAAACCACATTAGCTTACGGTATTATAATGCTCGTAAACTGTACTATTTTGTTTTCTTGTAAAATGAGGACGAGAATTAAAAAAATAATAATGATGATGAAAGAAAACAAATCGAAATCTGCAACCAAACCACGATTGGTGAGAATGTATATTTTGTTCTTTAAAAATAACAAATTTAAATTACAGCAATAACCCGCTCACATTCAATTCTTCTCTCTCTCTCTCTCTCTCTCTCTTTCCCTAACCGTCCCTCCCTCTCTATTTCTCTCTCTCCCTACCTCCCTCCCTTATCCCTGAAGTAGTTTATAATCAGGATTAATTTATAACTGTACTATATAAATATAGCAATATACCAAACCAGTAAAAATCTGTTATCGGATTCCCCCTCCAATCTCGCCCATTGCTTCATACTCATTTTTGTTTAGCATAAAGTAGGAAGCTTTTGCCATTCACATGAAGGACTAGTGATATTTGGCGTGACAAGGTTCCTTAAAATATACATCAAAGTCAATTGTCGGGAAAGAGAGCCTGGCACGAAATATTACCAATGAACGATATACTTCTTGGTTTGGAAGATCTGTAATCAACCTCTTTAACTACCAGGAGAAACCTAAGTAACTAAACCCCAGAGGTCACCATTTCTTCCTGATGACATAGATAAATGACAGATATGGGGTTTAGGGTCAATATATTTTGTGTGACCTTACTCGCTTCTCTGTCTTTTATTCAGGATATAGGCCTTGTTTAAAAATAGTAGAAGGTGATTAAAAAAAAAGTTTTACAAAATACACGTATTTATATGGACTTTTTTGTCAAAACGGATAATACTGATCTTGAAGAGGTTTATTTGTGTTTTGTTTTCAACAAAATATCTTGGGAAGCATGTCCCAACTTGCAAATAATATAAAATTATGTAAACAAGGTGGATTCCGTCATATAAGTTTTAATTTCATTTCGAAATTGTTCATTAAGTAATGAATTGCAGCCAGACTCAGAGGCTGAATTATAAATGATTACACATAAAAACTGAATAAACATAAGTAAAAATGGGTAAACAAATGACATGGATAAATACAAAAGCTTGAATACGTATAATAATAATAATAACACATTATATTTATAAAGCGCGTAATACATTGTTTCTAAGCGCAAGAAAAAGAAGAAAGGAAAAGGAAGAAAAAGTGAGAGATACTAAAGAAACATGTTGAATATTAAATTACAAGTAAACGGCAAAGAAGAATATGAAAAAAGCCTAGATAAAAAAAAACATGTACATACACCTGTACCAACAGGGGAAGGGGAGAGAGAAAGAAAGAATACAAGAAGAGATAGGAATAGCTACTACTACTACTACTACTACTACTACTACTACTACTACTACTACTACTACTACTACTACTACTACTACTACTACTACTACCAGTACTACTACCACCACCACCACCGCTACCACTACTACTAGCTTCTTATCTGAGGAAGTTAGATTCCATAGAACAATTCATAACACAACTAAAATGTATCTGTTTATCTAAAATTTGACTTTCACTACCTATATATTATTCGTTTGTTTTTGTGTTTTGTTATTGTAAATTTGCACAAGACTGCCAGATCTACTACGGCGCTGAACAAGCTGCTGCCTGCTGCCACGTTAATATTGAAGCTCAAGATTACACTGGAAATTTTCACTTTATCGTTGTGTTTCTGTCTTTTTGACACATCTACATAAGGTAAACGTACATTTAGCACTTAAGTGAGTGTGACATTATATATTAAGCCACTTAAGAATATACTTTGACAATTTCATGTTTGCAATACCGATTTTAGATGAAATTTCAAATTTATTTCGTATCGAAACATACTTTGCATTATTATTGTGTCGTTTGCTTAGAACAACCATTTACCCACAATTTTCAATGACCTTTTTTCAGAACGTCTACATGTATAAACTATACTCACTCTAGTCTGATTATTGCATTATCAAATAACCCTTGTATTTCCTCTCGTACCTTTTACATGTTTAAAATGATTTTTATGAAATTTGAAATTTGTATGTACTTTGAACTTGATTTAAGTGCAATATTTTAAGTAAAATATTTGATATTTACCGTTGTTAATAGTAATCCTAGTAATAATGTTGATACAAATTATTGTTATCATATTATTGATACTAATTATAGTAATAATAATAATAATAATAATTATAATAATAATAATAATAGTAATATTTATATCAATAGTAGTATGGTGTAGTGGTGTAGTCAATGAATGCTAACTGGCACTGCCGTAAGAAAATAATTGTTGTTATTGTAATTAATCTATGTCATTATGATCTCACTACTACATGTTATTACCTATTTTGATTCCTGTAATTTTGATGTTTGCTTTTACTATTGTACAAAACCTGTAATTCGGCTTTCGAGCCGCGATTGATTTTTATTCAATAAACCATTACTACTACTACTACAATATTCATTATTTTTGCGCCTTGAAAGATTTGGATATTATTTGTATTACATTCATTCAAACCTACGACATACAGTAGTCAGAAACACACATCCAGATCACACAATCATTCAGTCAAGCAAAAGAGGAATGGATAGAGCTTGGATCAACGACGAGTTAGAGATTATGGAGAGGAAGTAAAAAGAAGGAAAGAGGGAAAAGAACGCATTGATTATGTTTAATCTCTCCAAAATAACATTCTCTCTTCAATGTTTGGTCACAAAAGAGAAACGACATACACTCTGATTGAATCACAAAGTCAATATGCTTTGTATAAACTGATAAGCAGAGGGAAAGAGGGAGAGAGAGAGAGAGAGAGAGAGAGAGAGGGGAGAGAGAGAGAGAGTGAGAGAGATAGTACCCAATAAATATCCAGGTAGAAAGAGGAAGATTGAGAGATGAATGTTGGAGAGAGAGCAAGATCAAATCAGTTATTTTTTTCTTCTCATGATTACAACTCCTAAGTGGTCAAACATGTTGTCTTCAGATGATATTTAGCTCATGACACCATTCACTTTTATACAAATAATGAATGGTTATGAGTTCAATAGTGCGAATATGTTCATGAGTTGAAAGATTAACATTCTATTCAACGAGGCGTCAGCCGAGTTGAATAGAATTAACGTTAATCTTTCAACGAATGAAAATATTTGCACTATTAAACGAATGAAAAACATTCATTATTTGTTTTATACAACATCGAAGAAGACCTAATAGAACGTTAATCAACAAATTATGCTTTACTCCTTATAAAGATAAATTACAGTTCGAGTCGAGCCTTCTCAATTACATGCAGATTGCCTTCGCGTCAGATACACGCAGGGATACGCGCGCGCACATGCAGCAGAGAGGTACGCAGTCTGCATATAACCAAAAATGCACGGCGCATATAACCAAAAATGCACGACCGTGCAATATACCATCTATTGAATATCATGTGACCAACAATCGTCCAATCAAATGACAAGGATCCACGTAGGTGTTGTATAAAACATTCTATATCTGCTATACTTGATAATTGACACTTCCATGTCTCATGTACAGTGAATACAGAAATGGAGAATATTTAAATTAAAAGTCATCTCAGTCCAAGCATAGGTATAATTATGTTTAATTTCTCCAAAAATAACATTCTCTTCATTATTTTAAACACAAAAGCACTTTGTGCATGTACATACAATTATCTTTCTATGTGTAAACGTTACAAAAACGGATGCATACATATAACTGCAATCCCCTATAGTGTTCAAAATCAGGTTTACACTATAACATGTTAAGGTAGACAGAGCATCTTCTTTGTGGAAAATAATTAAATTCTTTAGATACTGGTACCACTATTTTTGGGGTATGTCTCCACTGATGCAATATTGACATTACACAAACAACAATGAAGTAAAGAAAACTAAACATGTAGAAAATGACATATAAAAGACAAGAGAGGTTCTATTCTAAAGCCTCCAGACCTACCTGACCTGTAATAGTTACTTGTTTCAGATACATGAAGCATTACAAACAGCTAATATAACTTTCTTGGTGCTTACATGGTTATTCTATAATTTGTAGTGACACTTATAGGTTACAGACCATGTGTTTGAAGTCCATATATTTACTAAAGAACGCATGATATTTTCATTTAAATAACTTGAATAATATAGCTCCCAAAGTGGTGGAAATGTCCATAGTATCAACATCAATACACTACATATACTCAATTGCCTCCATATTTTCATGTTTTTAGAATGATACTAAGTCTAAGTGCACAAATTGTTGACAATCTCCAAGGAACACATACAGTATTTATTTCAACCATAGCAAATTTATTTTGATACCATTCTGTTTAAAAGTGCAAATTAATAATATTTCTCATAAAGCAATGTAAAAATTTGTAAAAAAAAAAAAAAAATTAAATCGGGAAAAAAAAAAATCGGGAAAAAATCAGGAAAAAAAAAAAAAACCGGGACACCGATTTAAATCGGGACTTTATCAGGCCTGAAGCTTTAGTGTTTTGTTGTTGTCTCTCATGTAGCTGATTCCAAATTAACAAAATTCAAAACTTTAAAACACAGTGAAGAATTAATCTTTTGCATCGAGGCCTATATAGCTTTTAAATATTTGGGTTTGAATATGTTTAGAAAACATATGGAAACAAATCCTTCACACTCCTATGGATATAAGGCTCTAATAGGCAATTTTACACATAATCAAACATACAATTGTAAAGGAGATTAAAACACTTTATATTTTCATTACATAAACATGAAACATATATGGCTTTAGAAAGCCTAATAAAAAATAATAATATCCTACCTAAGAAACTATATTTCATTAATAGACATTTGTATAATACTTGTGTAGCTCTTCAGTACGTAGTCCCATCATCAGTGCTATGATAATCCATCCATGAGTGTTAGAGTTTGCTGAAGTTCTGAGATTCAAAATGAAAGGAAAATTATAAGCAATAAACATGACTAAGCAAGAGAAGGTTATACGGCTAAAGAATGAATATTACATTGAAATCATCACATCATATGGAATGTTGACAAAATGCAATGCCAGACCTGTGAGAGAAATTCTCAATATTACAGTACATGAAACTGAGTAGAGTAATAAGAAGGGACTCTAACAATGTTTTGAAACTATTTAATGATGAATAACCAAGCTTACAGTTATTAAATTGTACAGTTCATAACACAATCTAGATAAAAGTGTTTGCACATAACTCTTAAATGAACCAGTATAATGTGCAAACCTTAAAAGGAATTTAAATTCATTTTTTTGTTGTCAAGGCTGAACATGTCTATAACTTTTCAAACATGATTTTGACACACTTAAAGCACAGATTTTGAACTTGTATGACATTGACTACATATAATTGAAAATGAAGCTTACCACTTAGTAGGGTTCTAAACTTTTCTGAGGAAATAGAGAAAGATGTGACATTGATGGCATCTGTGTCTGTATCTCGTAGCTTGAGTCTGAGTTGTAGATTAGGCTCTTTGATTGTCTCTATCTCACTGGAACCAAGAATGTAATCTACTCTCCAGTCTACTGAATCAAACTTCGATACTGAGAGATACATAAGGAAGGAAGAAAGAAAAGCAAATGAATTTGTATCACTGACTTAAATAATGTGTAGAAATATACACATATATCTCTCTAAAGCTCCCAAAGTGCTCTGGTTAATTGAAACAGAACTGTGGTACAACAAAACAATAGAATACTTTAATATCACTGTGAGAAAATCACTTAATCAACACCAAATCTTTAAAGACATCCCGCAAACAGAAAAGTATTTTTTTTACACTGGTGTACAAAAACTGCAAGGATATCTCCAGGCGTTGACACAATTATATAGTGTCCAGCTGATAATGTCATTTCCAAAGAGGAATAAAAGAGATTTAGTTAAAGTAATGAGAACCAACATGGTTAGTCAAATATAGAAAACTTATTTGGTTTTATCTTTTGTATTCTGATTCGTCTTAACTTTCCGATGTCTGAGCCAAACATACACTACACTATACAAAAAATAGTTTAAAAAAAAAAAAAAAAACCTCCTCATGCAGTGTTGAGAGGCAAAACTACTTTCCTATATATGTACTAAAATAATCCCATTGCCAATTTTTTTCCCCATATGTAATTCAATATTTGTGTGTGTTTGCTGCGCCCCCTCCCCACTCCCACCCCTCATTTTATCTCCAACTTACATCTCAGGCTTCTGGATCTGAAACTCTCTTGCATCTTCTCTCTTTTATCTCCATATGACCTGCTCAGAGCTGTGGAATGTTCTGCACAGAATAATAAAATATAAACTCATTGAAATCTGTAATTCACATTCCCCCTGAACATTCATCCGGTTCCTGAGGGCTGTCAACCCATATGGTCTTTTTCATATCTTGCTACCCATTTACACCTGAACTCAGTTACAATTAATGATTAACATGCCATGAAATCATATTTCTAAAAGTTGGAGTTAACTGCTTCAGGTAAAATTTGTCTTATCCATGAATGTAATTGATTTATATTATTACAGGAATCCCTGATTCAGTCAAGTAATAATAATAATAATAATAACAACATTTATAAAAAAAAAATACATTTTTTTCTTCAAATCGGCATTCATACAGGATGATGATGGTGATGATGATAAAGACTTCTTGTATAGTGCAGAAGTCCGCCTCTGGTGGGCGCTCATGGATCTTGCTCTACAATGTCTCACAAATTCATAATGGTAATATGGAAACAATAAAACAAAAAAATATACCTTTTATCTACATTTCCTGTAAATCTTTTATTTTTATTCTATGTTAAATAAAATTTGGTCAATGAGATAGATAAGAAAATACAAAAAAATCCATTGTGGGTATAGGTGTAAATACAAATAAAACTTGTGTCAGAGATTCATACCTTTAGGTAAGCCTAATTGTTGTAACTCATTTGAGAGTGACTCCCCATCAACATTGTATTTAGCTGCACTTGATAGGATGAATGACAGAGCAGCAATGCTGGCTTTCACATCACTCGATTCTGTAATCATAGACAAATTGTTAGGGTAAAATTAGCAAAAAACTTTACTTGTTACCATTTCTCCAGTTCAGAATTAAATTCCATTAAGGCATATCAAAATCATTAAAAAAAATCAAATGTGTGCCACATATAAAAGAAATACTGATGAATGTCTTTTTATGAACGCTTTCTTTTTGTTTCATGCTTTTTTATTATTTCTCACCATTTTCTTTTTTTTTGGGGGGGGGGGATGGTGAACCATCATGTAATCTGTGTCCAATGATCCTTCTTTACAAAGTTCTATAATACATTAGCAGAATAGATTCTAAACAAATATTTTAGCAACTTCAAATAAATGTACTGTTATGGGCTTGTAAAATATATCTGGAATAGAAATTGTTTGTGCATATGTAACATGGATGATGTATGTCTGCATGTACCGCATGATAAATTGAAAATTCATTGGGATATTTCATGTCCTGCCTTTGCCTTTAGTAAGAGCAATAATTATTCATCTATTTGACAGTAAATTACTACATACAGTAATTTAAAAACAATACTGATTTAGATAATATGAATATCATTCTACTCTACAAATGTCTGTAATTTTGGTCAGTTACTCACCATACTTGGCATCAGCTGTCAACTTGTAAACTTTCTCAAACTGTCATTACAAAGAAAGGTGAAATCAAATAGGATATCATCAATAGGTTGTAAACACTGTGATATAGTTTTAAGTACTATAGAGAGCATACTAAATGTAATTTGTTATCATTGTTTGACATTGACAATGCTTTACACCAAGATACCTCTAGGTAAATATATAGGAAAAGTGTTTTATTAAATAAAACTGCCCTAATAGATCAAAGGTTCAACATCATCCCAAAATGGCCCCTCTCCCTACAACAAATACAACAGAAATATGTACAGTCTCCATATGGGCTAATAGCTAAACATGAAAATACAATAGATATTTGCAGAAATACCAATGTAAAACATAAAAATTACTTACATCTATGTTATCTCCAAGTAGATCTTTGATGACTTGCCCACATAACAGCTTCATTTTAACTGATGTCTGTATTGTGACAGAAAATACAATGAAATTATATCATCGAGGAACTGATAAATGACATTGCAATATATATACCGTGCGTCCCAGAAAAAAAAAAAAAGAGAATTATCAAAAAGACTTAACTCTGTTTCGTTGACAATCAGCCATAGACGAAAGACTTCATGCATGGCTGATTGTCAACAAAACGGAGTTAAGTTTTTTGTAAATTCTGCTTGTTGCTACGGCAGGCAGCCAGTGAAAACGAATTTGTTTGATAACATTATGGAAATGCAAGCACGACTTTAAACAAACAGAGCTTTGTCATTCCTTGCTCATTTTTCCTGATGGACGTGTCATATGAAAGGGCAGAAACTCAACTTTCTAGAAATGTGATTTTCTGTGAACAAATTCTACACACCTATCATATCATTAACTCATTTTCATTTAAAGTTATGTTATGTTTTGTTTGGTGTGTGTGTGTGTGTGAGTGTGTGTTTTGTTTTGGAGGGATGGGTTTGGGGGGATTCAAATAAAAATACATGTGCATTTTAGATGATCAATAACCCACTAATCAATGAATGACTGCATCCATCAATAAGAAAACTGCGTTTGCAGATTTGGAAGGATAATAGTGATTAATAGATTTTAAAAAATCATCAAAATCTTACTATTTTACTCAGAATGCTGATCTCTGCAAGCACCCAATCTGGGCAGTCCAAATCTCCACAAAATCTGAATCTCTGTAATAAATGCAATACAATTGTGACAGATTTAAATAGTGTAACATATATTTGACTTCTTTTTTTTTTAATCTAATTTTCTGGAATGCAATCTTAAACCTTTGGCAGCTGGCAGCAAAGAAGTTTTTTGTTTAAATGTGACAATTACATGGAGTCATGAATTGTCAATGGATATCCTTTAGTATTATAATAATGATAATAATACATGTAGTGGGTTATTGTAAAGCACTCATGTCTGTCAGACAATTCTGGTGCTCCATAATTATTACCCCAGCTTTAGCATGGCTGCGATCATGGCGGTCTAGCATTTCAAGGAATTCATTCCTGCCAGGTATCCATTTACCTCACCTGGGTCAAGTGTGACAAATGTAGATAATTAATGTCTTGCCAAAAACATTAGAGTCACAGCAAGAGACTTAAATCATTAACACTGCGATCCACAGTCTGGTGGCGTATCCACTAGTGACTAGTCGACACTCCACACAATTTGTTTAGTAAATGGGTGATACAGTGCGTATATAAAAAACGGTCATCAAAATTGAAGTAGACTCTGAGTCTGATAATGATACTAAAACTGACAAAAGTTTAAATAGAAGATCTAGAATTTAACGAAGATCTAACAGCGTCTAACTCTACTATCACTAGACCTATTGACTATTGTCTAAACTCTGAAGGAGTAGACCTAAGAGTAAGAGTAAGACAGATTAAAAAATAAACTTTTAAAGTTTTATCAAATCATACTCTAGTAGAATCTACTGTTAGATGTACTTTTCCTTGAAAATCTAGATTAACATCACTAATGTGCAGGGATCAAAAGTAGAAGTATATGGTTCATTGGATTTACATGCATGTTTACTTCAACATCTACAATGAAATAGAAACACAAAACAAAATACTTAGAAGTTTGACCCAACTAAGTAACAAAAATAAATAAATTTCACATTTCTATCATAATCTATCACTCTTGTTGACAAAAATAAAAAATCATCAATATTACAATGAGGTTTTTCGAACTAAATAAACCATAACAATAGGCATTTCACTTAAATATTTCTTTGGGCTTCTGGGTTAAATAAAACGACTAACACTAAATGACAGAGTCCGGATTTACAAGCTAACGAGAACAACACTGCGCATTTTTGTAGACATGGGACTACACTATTAAAACTCGACAAAGGCTCTCAAGTCAACGCCCCTTTTTGAAAAAGATTGCAAATTCCCACAAAAATAACACATTCAAGTCGTAAAAAACAAAATTGCACCTGATAAAGAACTTACCATTTTTGTTTTTCAAATCAAGAATTTAAGCGTAAAATCGGCTCGAAAAAGAAAAGTCTTCAAGATTTCGTTCAATGAATCAAACGCACAAAGAAAAAATGAAAAAACATAAAGAAACCCTCAGCTCTATGCATCACGTGTTATCTATATTTACGATAGTACGTCACAGAACTGCTAAACTCGCCGAGTAGCTAGGATCATTCTTGCTAACTGTCACTAAATGATGAGAGGATATGAACAAGGAGGATATTAGCTGGTATCTCTTTGATATGAATAGAGTAATTTTCTCATTGCAGAACGGTTTAATAGCATAACAAAAAAGGATTTGTCCTGCCAACTTCATCATCAAACTTGTTATAGAATATTTATCACCTTCAACTGGGCCTTAATGTACGACTTCGATTCTGGGGCGGGTTCCTAGAAACCGTTAATATAAGTCTAACTTCTTGACTATACCATTGACACCCGTGTTAATTCTTTAACACACGTTTTAATGGGATAGTCAAGAAGTTAGACTTATGACGGTTTCTAGGAACCCGCCCCTGGTGTCCTTCCACAGGCTCTGGTCAGCATTTTTAAGAAAAATAGTCAAGTTCATGACCATATGCCTCTGCGTTTCACTTACCCCAAGTAAGGAAAAAGTTTACTTTAAATACTTTGGGTTTTTTCTGGACCTAGATTTTGGAACTCTCTAGGCAATTTGTAGGCCTATCTTTTTGTTTTTATAAATAAAATCAACAACCGATGCGAAGAGCATTTTTTTAGAGAGATTAAATTCTTTCGGGATTACCTTGGCATTGCGTTGTTGCTCTTGTTAATTTGTGTCCCAACTCTGTCAAATATGAAATTGTTCTTGGTGATGATCACGACGGGTTTTCTCGTTTTTAAACGAGAGCTGGAAAACACATGCTGCCGCGGGATTATTTTACTTTATTTTGTCTTTTCATCTATAAAAGGGCATGTTATGTCGACTTACTACTCTTTAGCTTTTGAAAGGAATTTGATGTTCGGATATGCAGTGAATGATTTTAAAAATTCTAATCAAACTGATGACATCATTTTGCACTTTATATATTGGTGGATAGGAATATGCTACACACCCACATAGGAGAAATTTAGGAGTCATTCAATTCCTATTCTAAGAAATTTGAACACGTTATGATACACAACGCGCAAATTTACACCGGCATGACTGATAAATAGAAGAAACTGTTTTTTTCAAACAGAAATGATGGACGTGGCCAGGCGCGTACACAGGGGGGGGGGGGGGGGGTTGGGGGTTAAACCCCCCCCTTTGGTAATTTATTGTGTGTAAACCCCCCCCCCTAAATTTCCCTAACCCCCCCCCTTTTGGAATTTTTTTTTTTTTTTAATTAAAAAAAAAAAAAAAAAAAATTCCCATGGCCGACCTCAAAAAGATGACCTTATCCCCCCCCCCCCCCAACGGAGCAAAATGTCAAATTTTCAAATTTCGATACCAAAAAAAAAAAAAAAGTGTCCTCTTACCCCCCCCCCCCCCCCCCCCCCCCCCCCCCCCCCCCCCCCCCCCACTGAGCGACATTTCGGCCGATTTTCAAATTTTCGGGAGCAAAATATTTTGGGCCAGATTTTAAACCCCCCCCCCCCCCCTTGAAAAAATCCTGCGTACGCCCCTGGACGTGGCAACAAGGGAACGGGATCGATCCCCATTTCGTTTTCTAAGATATTTTTTTTTATATCTTATCATCTTATATTTTAAATGTGCAGAATTTCTAATAAAACAGTTATAAAATTACGTTTGAGTTGGTAAATTTTAATATCGTAATTTAAAAAAAAGCAAATTTTCCATAAAAACATTAATGTGAAACTATAAATTCACCTTTAATTTTGTTCATGCAAGTATTTACTCCACAAATAAAATAATAGCAGATCACACATGATCATAGATTCTCTGGAGTGGCATAAGCCGTGTACGCAGGATTTTTTCGAAGGGGGGCGGGGGGGGTTTAAAATGTGAAAATCGCGCCGAAAATTTCAAAACGACTCAGCCAGTCACTGAAAAAGCGGGGGAAGGGGGGGGGGGAGGGGTAGGAGGCCTTATTTTTATATTTTTGTCGGTCCCAAAAATTTCTTTGGGGAGAGGGGGGTCCCAATTTTTTTTTTGGAAATTTGACCGATCGATATTTCGTTCTGTTGGGGGGGGGGGCGTGGGTAAGGTAAACTTTTTTGGGGCACCATTAGCATTTTTTTAAAATTATTTTTATTTAAAAAAAAATTGAGGGGGGGCGGTGGCTTTCCTCCAAAACACACACATAATATAATTTGAGGGGGTTCAACCCCCCCCCCCCCCCTGCGTACGCGCTTGTTTAAACATGTATAACTGAGAAAAAAATGAAATGAAATGAAATGGAAATGCTAAATAAAATAACACTATCGTACTGTTCAGCGAGTTGGGAAAATTAAAGGTAATACAAAGTTTTGGTATGGGTTCATTAATTTGGTTCAAGTGAACATATTGGAAGCATATACGATCCTACAATATTCAGTGATCGTTGTCGCGGTCGAAATCGACTCTAAAGTTATGAAATTGTAAATAATAAACACTTTGTGTTGAATAGCCCCCTCTCAAGGTCAAGATATTAATTAAGCTATAAAACAATGTTTATTGACTAAAATTGACTGAGTAGCTATTCTCGTTCGGAAATTATATACCACAACTACATACTCTGATATTTTCATGGTCGCAGCTACCATTGTACGGCCGTAGGAGCTATTTGAAATTTATCAAAATTTACCGGGAGCACCGGTAAATCTTTATATTCAATTTTTCTCGAAAGCAGAAGTGTTTTAGGGGCTAAAATTTCTAGTGTTTTTCATACATCCACAGGGGCATCCAAATATATTAAAATTGTAAAGAATCACTATCCACCCATTTTTCAAAATTTCCCAAAACTTTGTAATACCTTTAATGGAACGAATTTTGTGTGGCCGAGTTTTGTGTGGCAGAGCTGTTTGTGATTTGGAGAATGGCTAACACGCTTGAGAAGAAAACCATAATTCCTAATAGGGTCTAGTAGATCTAATGCTGTTTAATGAGTTATACGTATTCCTAGGAGAAGTTCATGATCTTATTTAACTCCATATGAGTCAAGTCTAGGTATTCAAAAGGTATGATAATTTTGAATATTTGAGTTTTTTAAATGAATTTCCTCCAAAACAGCGCTTGTAGTTTTAGCCGCAGCAAGCGGGATCGGACAGGGTTCTCTGCCCTGTCCTCTGGCGTAGGTACTGGCTTACCTTGGTGGTATGTATCGCCATGATTTTCTCTCGCCCAGGCCAGGCCTGGCCGGCCTGGGCCAAGCTTAGCCAATAGATTCATTCATATTGTATATTCAATAGATCTATACCTTTCCTCACGCACTATGAGACCCATACATTTCAACCAATTTTCACACATAATTTTGTAGTTGTTTGTCTTTAGTTTTTAGACCTTAGTCTTGAATTACAATTGTGTTTATCACTGGCTTTTGTGATAATCTTCGGGGAGCCGGGAACTTTTTTAAACAAGGCCCCCATGGGCAATGATGGGCTTTTCCTTTGATCTCCTATTTGAGTATTTCATGTGAAGTTATTTATTTATTTATTTATTTATTTATTCAAGTTTTATTTAAAATAGAGGGTAGGTACATTCAGTTTAACAAAACTGCTTTCCAAGTACGCCCTCTAAGTACATAACAAATGTGCGATATACAAAAATACAAGGATTATATACAAAATATAACATTCATCAAAACTAAACATTGACATAATTATTTGACATAATATAGAGTACAAACATATATAACATAAGAAAAATAATTATACCGGTAGAGGGAAATAAGAACGGAGATTCGACTATAATAAATGCTTTGCCAATTGGCATCCGCGCTTAAATATTTGAATTGACTTGGTTGATTGGATTGAGGAAGGAAGTTCATTAAATAGGGTGCTTGCTTTATATGAGAATGATCTTTTTTTGAAATCGGTTTTGGGGTATGGGATGTCAAGTAGAGCATTTAAGGAATAGCGGGTACAGTAGTTGAAGGTGCTATAATTTATAAGTGATTTTAAATAAGTTGGGGCCATGACATTTATAATTTTAAAAGCTAATAAACAGTAGTGATATTTTAATCTTTGTTTGACCGATTGCCAATTTAAAGTCGTAAGAAGTGTACATTGTGGTGTGTCGTAATCCTTATTTAAAACCATTTAAAAATAAAAGTTATTGATAAACTGAACATTCTCTACCTTGTATGATATAGGCCTAGATCTACTTGTATGTTTATTTGCTTTTGCTGAGTTTTTTATGAAAATGAAATGAATAAACGAACGAACGAACGAATTTAATTAAAAGAAAATAATTGTTTGTTTAGAGAGTCTAATTAGTCTATGTCTGTTCATGTATTAATAATTCATTTAGAACATGACATCTCCCATTCCACTGGTACTAGTAGTAGTACAGCGTGTGTGTGATAGATCTATAGACTATTGGGTTTTTACAGACGTGTATTAATCAGATTAGACCGAAAACTTCAGTCTCTCTAATCGTTGGTTGTTCCACTGAGACTACGTCTGGCTCCACTAGACCTCCGATTATAGAGACTGAAGTATGGCCTATCGGGACTGTATGGGACTGTACGAAACAAATGGTTCGGTTCAACCGGACGAATGAGATATGCAACAAGATTTTCACTCTTTACATCCTCATAACTGCTGCAATTATAATACAAATTAAAAGTAACATGTATATAGCTTATTTGACTTACGATAGCTTGCTCATTTAGATCCTAAATTAATGATTAATCCGAGAAAGTCTCGTCGTCAACATTATCCGTCTTGGTTTTAGTTGATGAATATTCATTTTTTCATTTCGAACGTCCAATAGGTACCGTAGCTACGTACGAGTCAGCCCAGCTTGACCAACGAACTCTCACGAAACGAGTGCTCTGATTGGCCATTTGGCTATGTTTTGGTAGGTTGACCCGGAAATATTTTGGCCGCCGGGTCATATAGCCCTATGTTCGAGTGAATGAACGTACTGTTTCACAGTTGGGAGATACAAATTGGATAATTCATATAAGTAAGTCCGTAAATTATACATTTAATATTAAGTTATCAAATTTTGATAACTGTAATTAGGACAAATGATATACCAACCTAATTTACATCTGATTTAGAAATCAGAAAATTAGATCTAAATAAAGAAAATCGGGGAGAAAATGTTTTGACAAAAAAGCTGTACATTGTTGGCTATAGCTACCCCCACGGTACGAGATCTCTGGGTTACCATCTGTATTGGGGAATGTCAACAAATGTCAGTTTTATTAAAGAAATGACCCAAATCAGATGGTTATTTCTGTCTACAATCAGATATGATTATTTACGTCTGGGGACCGACCTTTATATTACGTCACCATCCGAAAGACGTGACTCAGTTTAGAACCTGCATCCATTATTCCTTGGCTGAATCAGTTTGTAACTTCCAGTGTTAGCTGGATTACAGGCGCACGCCACAACGCCCATTACATCATTACACCATTACACAGTGTATTCTCAGCTCAAGCAACACCATATTAAAAGTGTTATAGGGAATAAGAGGGCCGTGGAGGGGTGATGTATCAGATGGTATGTCCTGAATCAATTACTTATATTCTATCTCCTGAATCTACAGGGTCACACAGATTTTAAAACAAAAATTCTACTTCCAATTTTTTGTATGATGTACTTCAGAAAATATGATATAGACCTTCCGGTATATTAAATTAACCTAATCATTTCTCTAGATTCTTTGATCCACAAGGTAAAATGCAAAGGTCAAGCATTTATATAAATTTTAAATATTTGTCCTTTCCTCTCAGTGTCATCATGTTTTCGTCAGTCAGCCAATCATTATGGAATCGATCCGCTCAGCTCATGGGTTGTGTTTGTAGAGGCTCAGCAGCAGTACAATGGCAACAGTTAAGAGTGAGTGTATGAAGGAATACTTAATATTTTTTGGAGTTATGATGCAAGTTAACCCTAAATTTAAATTTACGTCAAGATAACCAAAATGACAATGAAAGTTAAAAAATTCAAAAAAGTTAAAAATAATGTCTGCCAAGTGGACATGAAAAGTAAACAAAATGAAGAAAAAAGGGATAAATGTAATTTTGTTCAAAAGTGTTATGTTTTTCAAATTCTAACGACCATAATTGTCAGATATTATCTAATGCAGAATAACCACATCCATTCTCATCTCAAAATTATGCTTAAACATTTCATTGGTCCTCTGTGTGACCAGGTTTAGTATCACTAAATTAGATTTTGCAAGACATATCTATGACTCACTTGCTTGGATCTTTTGTTTTCAGACTGTAGTTGTAGTGCGTCGACTTTTCCCACCACCTGTGCCCAAACTTGGAGAGAAATACACGAGGCAAAAGAAGAGCCACAAGGTTTACATCATAGAAGAGGATACAACGCATCGAGCAAGACAAAAGCTCAAACTTATCCTCACAGAAGATGTACCAAGTAAGTGCCGGAAAAAAAAAATCTCCAGTTATTTTGTGGGGGGGGGGGGGGCTACTGGTTAGTCGTAGAATCAACATTTGTTGATTACATAGTCAAAGATGATTATTTGTTAGGGTACTTTCAAAATTTTGCCCAGTACTGCACATGTACATAATGGTTCGTACTATTTTGTAGGAATCCGATTTGTATTTAGATGTGTGTTGTGATTTAGCATGATAATTTGCATTCTTAAACTAATTGAACAATATTCCACGCAGGGTGGTCTGCAAACAAAAACGTATACAATTGCAAATATGGAGGATTATGAACTAATTTGCACAAATTGCCAAGTCGCCTTTGGATGGGTTACAGAGCCTGCTAAAGAGCTCTGTAAGCTCTATAATTCTCTCTGGTGTAATCTAAGCTATATCTGCAGCATTTTTAACAAACTTTATGACTTTATGTTATCAATTTTATTGAATATCCAGTACCCATTTTTGTCACTAGATTTGTTTGTTATTTCATCTTTCCAAATCATTTTCCAGAGATAGGTAACCGAGGAGAGGTAGTAATGGTGGATAAGAGGATAGGCAGGAACAAACTGATACCATCTGGAGCTGCAGTATATGCTTCACCTGAAAATATCAAGGAATTTGTGATGACAATACAGGCAAGTTTAATTACATAAACAAATATGTTGTACATTGATTTCATATTACTGCAGTTAATTGTATTGGACATGATAGATAGTTAAGCTGACTATGAAGACATATAATTAGGAATGAATAATGGATGAGACTTGTTAATTTTTTTATTCTGATTATTGCATTCACTATGTCTTACAAAGTAGGTTGTGCAATGTGTATGAGAATTGCGTTTGTTATATTAGTAGGTGCACAATTTTTAAAAGACCAAAACACAATACCATCAACATGACTTTCTTTCTTGTACATGGGAAGTATATGGAATATTTTCCTGGTGGTATTTTTAAGTAGCTAATCCTTCTCTGTAGATGGATTAAACTGCCCCAATTTTCTTACTGTTTGAAATACTTCATTCTTCATTCCTTTCGGAATTCAGAATTCAAAATAGGTATATTATATGATTTCTGAAGTTTGATACAATGGAAAAAATGTTAGTATGAAAATTTTAAAAATGAAGAAAGGAACCATAATCAGAGTTATGTTGATAAATATCTTAAAGCATGGTGAAACTGTAAAGGTTGTGTAATTTGGTTATTTTTTCTTTTAATTTGTTGACAGAAAGAGAAAGTGGAGTCAACAGAGGAAGGAAGACTCTCTCCCATGGCAATGAAGGTAAGTGGAATGAATCATTAAAATTTATAGATGGAAACTTTTATTTTGTACTAATAAAAAAATGTGGAGTGAGAATCCAGCCGTTTAAGATCTATTTCCATTGTAACATGTATAAAGCTGTCTGTGTATACTGTTACAATGTAGCTTAGTTGTGTTTTTCTCTTTGTCTTCCTTTCGGTCAACCTATAAACTGACTGAGGTTCAAATGAAGTTCTATTTGATGGACAAAGTTGGTTCCTCATGTTGTAGCCTAGTTTTATACGTACACTGTATGTCACTCTGATTGATATAGATCTGTAAAAAAAAACGATTTACAAAACATTTGTTTAGTTTGTAAGTTAAGATACCAACATTCAACAAAACTATACAGGAACTGTGTCCTTTGAGTTGTGGTTGTTGTGGGGAAAAAAACATTGGGAAGTAGGGACCTAATGTCAAAAGAAATCATTTCAATCTATAATCTCAACTTGATTGACATGTTGGGTTTATCTATGCATATCACTTTTTGCTCTGCATTGTTTTTCTTGTTCAGACTATTAAGCATCTGCAGAAGAACATGTTGGAAGTGAGAATGCATGCAGATTCTGAATGGACTGAAGTAACCAAGGATCATGTGATTCATGCTTTCAAGCAAAGGGTAAGTCCCCCCCCCCCCCCCCCCCTCCCACCCACCCAGCCCTGATCGACAGACCTGATTAAACAAGCCAAACTTTGGTGATACATACCGGTAGTGAAGTATTCAGGAGTTGTATCACCAAAAAAAGTGTAAAATGATGTACCGGTATATGTTATACATAGCTGGAGGGAGTCCATGAGCAATACCTTATAAAATGTGCTGCTTTAAATTAATGATAATGTTCTGTTCTCAGTGCATTCAAGAAACAATCCTACCAGGTATCCACCTACTACACGTGGGCCAAGTTGGTCAGGGGTGTCAAATGTAGGTAATGTCTTGGCAAAGGATATTAGTGCAGTGTCAGGGATTCAAACACCATACTTTGTGATCTGCAATCCACTAGACACTAAACCACAACTCCTCATAGTTTTTGAGAAATATTAATATCACTATTAAAATTTTCCTGGTTTTTAACAAAAGCTTTTATTCCACAATACAGGTTTATTGATTCATGATTACAAAGGTTTTTGTGTTTGTTGTCCACCTTATAGCTTGGTGTAGTTGTGTCTGAACATGCTCTGAAACTTCCAGATGAAACAATCACCACATGTGGCACATACCCAGTGGAAGTGACTGTGAGTATAAATTATCAAAGCATGATAAAAATTAATATTGATCCTTACGACCATAAATCTAATACACAGCCGCAATATCATACTACCATGTTGATTTTGGCCAATGAGTCATTTCATGTTGAAGAATAAAGCTGTTAAATATTCATGGTCGAGGTTTATAAAATATGAGTTCATGACCAAAGTGCATGGTACACCTTTGAATATAGTAATCTTTCTCAAAATGATTAAGAGGCTGTTCACACCGCAATGAGATAGCGCGGTCTATCGTAGCACCCCCTTTTTTTCTAGCGCGCGCTAGACCGCGCTATCTCTCGTGGACCACCCCCAAGAGGTGCTCCAGTGGCACGCCGTTTTGGCTCGCCATGGCTCGCTGTTGGGCGGACCGAAACGACGTTGTACCTTCCACACCGCAGAGATAGCGCGGTCTAGCACGCGCTATCTCTGCCGGTGTGAACAGCCTCTAAGTCAGTAAAACTATTAAACTCAGGTACACTTTAGTACCATTAATCTGGAAACAACTTAAATGTAGCCAACATGTTATTAGTATTCTCTATCTTGCTGGTGATCAATTTGGATGATTAGGTACCTAGTCAAATAAGGTTAAGTCATGTAAAAGATTTTCATATTCCATACTTTTGATATTTATTGATCATTTCAACGGGTAAAGAGCATGTTTTGACTGTTATACCTCTAAAAGTGAATATTGTACCCGAAACAGTTCTATTGTGACACTTTTAAAAGCGCTCAATTAAAATTGTGACCTAAACAGGACCAAAGTTGTTCTTTCTGCGATTTGATATAGAAGTCTAAAATGCTATATAAGTTTTTCTTTAATCTTATTGTGAAACCTAGTGAATTGTATTTATTTTCATCATACAGATCAATGGCATTGACACGGTCCCCATGGAAATGGAGGTAATTAACTTCTTGCCTAAGAGGAGAGGAACACGAGAAATAGCGGAGGAGGAAAGTTGAGAGGATACATGATGTCAAATTATGAAGAAAATAGGTTCTTTTTACAGTAAAAAGTAATAGGTGATCACCTCAGTATGATTTTAATAAGCAGCAGATTTGTTATGTGCCCAACAGAACATTGAAGTGACATTCCTCATAGTGAATTATCAGTTGCCTTATACAGATGGTTAATTTGCATGGGGAATGAGGAAAGAGTATACAGACCATTCAATGTGCATTCACATTTCAGAATTAAGGCTTACATACTACATGTGATCATTTTATTTGTATTTGAGAAACTTGAGAGATTGAGATATTAGAGAAATGGGTGTAGTTCATAGAACCAGGAATTTATTCTTCCCTCTCCCCCCCCCCCCCCCTCCCCAAAATCAGAAACATGATGCATTTAGAGAATCATTTGATGTAAATTATGTTTGATAATTGAGGGGTTAAGTGCAAATTAGTGCTAACCCTTAGTTTCTGAAAATGAGTTATTTACATCATGTATCTTGCCCACCATTCTAGTACCTGTAAAATGTTCTATCCAAGCAAATAACTTATCAAATAATGGAGGCTCAGGCAGCATATAATCCTGCATTGTGTTATAACCCAAAACTTTGTTATTTATCTCAGAATTAGATGCTTTTTGCTTTAGCAAGATCTTGCATCGACCATGCAAAATTCCAAATGGGAGTAGGATTCAAATTCACTCAAGGAGAGACAAAGGGCAATTTTAGTCTAAAACAGCAGTTAGTCAAATAATATGAGATACTGTGCTCTACATTGAATAAATGTTATTATACAATTGCAATATCATGTGTGGGTTTTGTCATTTATGCATACGGTGCTTACAGCTACATGTAAATTATAGGTTAACACAGCCGTCATAATTACATAATTGTACTTACACTGTACATGTATTATTATAATATCACACTTTTATGTGAATGGACAAAGATATACGGTGCATGTATATCATTCACAAATTACTGCATTATGCAATATGAGCATTTTAATTGGAGATATATTTTTAATTAAAAGGAGAGATGAGAAAGAGAGGAAGAGAGAGAGAGAGAGAGAGAGAGAGAGAGAGAGAGAGAGAGAGAGATAGGAAAAGAAGGGGGAATAGAAAAGAGAGACTGCAAGGGGAAGAATGATATGAGAAGAAAGCACAAAATAGCTTGAGAGAAACGTACATAGCAAGAGAGATGGAGAGAGAGAGGAACAATTTTTCTTATTAGGGGAAAAATTGTAAGCTGCTTGTAATAAGAATCCTGGCATTTAATGTAAGTAAATTGCAAAATGTGCCTCGATGTGAAAAGAGAAAAGAAAGATGTGAGGTTTCAAGCAAACTCCCAGCCTAAAAAAAACTTCTTAAAAAGAAAGCAGGAAAATCAGAGAAATAGAAGAAAAAAATTATGACTAATCAGAAATTTAGGCTTGATCAATGTTACAAAAATCACTGTATAACAGCAGATTTATCTAGAAATCTCTCTCCTCATATCCCCTCTACCCCCTCCCCTTCTCTCTCTCTCTCTCTTCTTTCTATCTTTTGCATTTCTTTCTCACATCTCTTTGCTCTTTTGATTTTCTTTCTTCACAGCTATCACTCTCGTATTGGTTTGAAGAAAAAAATCAAAAGCTCAGTAAAAAATAATTTACATGTACATACCTTTAATGTATTTAAAGTAAGTTGCATGTACATACAAGTACATGTACATGTATCTCTGCATCATGAAAGCAACTCTTGAAGAATGCCAGTGCAGATACGCCAAAGAAAATATCAACTGAAATATGTCTCAAATTCAGGTTTGTTTCATCTTTAATGATGATAAATTGTTTTTCATACTATTCTGAATCTTTTAGCTGAAATCCATAGACCAACCATAGATCAAAGAATTAGAAAATAATTTACATTTACATCATAAAATCTTCTGGTAAGAAGAAAATCTTACACATGTAAATCTAAATATGCACCATTATATATACATGTTATATTGCATTCTTAGAATTCAAAGGGAAAACATTCTCACTACGATATTTGTATATTTTTTTGAATTATATGTATAAAGGTATTCTATTTTTCAAGGGTTCTGATCACAAAGCCTACCTCTCACATAATTTTGTAATGAGCTGCTTTGAGACTGAAATAAATTTCAGTCTTGGAGATAATCCTGGCTAAGAATATTGCTGCATGATAATCACCAATAATATATCTAGCACTCACAAAAGCAATTTTCTACTTCTTTTTATTATAACTTTATTATTGTGTGAAGACAATTAAATAGACATGCCATACTATATACAGAAGTTGACACGTTTGATCATTTTGATTATTTGATCTCAAACAAACGCTTTTAAATTTTGCTTAGCTTTTCAATATAACTATACATGAATCCATTTTATTAAGAAACACGGCAAGCAAGTGTCCACAATTGGAGATCATGAGATGTCAACCACATGCTCTCATGTACAAATAAAGAGTCTCAGCCCTGAAACATCTCCTGCACAATACATAATGGGCGAACATGCAATAGACTCTGGTTGATAAAAATGTTCTTATGATAGCATCTAGAAGCAAATCATCACCGCTCATGACAGACTCTCTGGGGTCAAAGGTCATTGCTTGCATCACCTGCTTCTCTCCCTCTCAATGAAGTACCTGTCTCGGATACGGTCACAGAAATGGACCAGGGTGGGGTACTTGTTGACCATGTCTGCAAGACGTTTGTCTTCTGCCTCCATCATCTGAAGAGTCTTAAGATGTCCATACACCAATGCATCCAACTCGGTGGGTCTAAACAATAAAAGTCAGAGATAAAAAGGTACAAAAAATCTTACCACTCAATGCAAAGGGAACAAAGATTACCTGGTAGGTAAAACTTTATCAATATCAATGTCAATTCCGAATTGGAATGAATTTCAAAATGAGAGGGTAGTACCACAGGATCTACCTCTAAGACAGTATTTTTAACTCAACATTTATTTCTACATGTACATATAATCATAATTACTGTTAAAATATATCATTTACTTGAATCATGACTCAAAAATGTATCTAAAATGTAACTATGTTATGTGTTAATAATTGATGAGCACTGCACATGCAATAACATGAATATTAATTCTCTTATGCAAATAGATATGTAGTACCCCTTTTCTTTTCTCATACAAATGTTGTAATACACCTGCTTCAGTACTTGACATGAAATCTGGCCAAAGCAAAGTTTTAAAATTACTGCACAAGTATGAATCATTATACGCACCTGTCTAAGAAAAAGTATTGCTCTCCACCAAGTTTGTCTGAAAGAGCTTTGCAACAGAGGTTCACTTCATCATAAACCTTAAGGGTAAAAGTTATATGCAAGAAAACAGATGAGATTAAATTTGCCATTCAAGTTATCAACACCAGAATGTTGAGGTACAGGTCACACAATTATTGCAAAACAGCAAAAAGGGATCTTTCAGAAATTAACATATGAAGCCTAGATAGTGATTGGCTCATACAAGTAGGAGATTAAATGTTCAATTGCAACTAACTTTACTCTTAAGTTTGAGTAAAGTGAACAAGGATGAATACATTTTATTTCTCCTTGATACACATTTTTGAATTAAATTTATACTAGAATATTAAAACTTCATGCAACATATTGAAGTATTCTACATACCGGTATTGTGTCATTTGATGAGAAGTAAAATTACACTGATGACTAGTATAGGAATCAACATTCATGATTGCTAAGTTACATTTTCTAGATAAACAGGGTTATCTTGCATGAAACACAAACAAATTGGAACTTTTCTGATTCAATTCCTCTTCCACGAGTATGATCTACCCTGGACCAGTCCCCAATAATCCACATTCCACACATGATCTATTGTAAGAAGTCCCACAGGAAAAGATATGTGTGGGTCCATGCAAGGTGACCTTTAAAAGCCTTGTACAAGGTTATTTTAGATAATACTGAATGCATGTCTTAGTGCCTGGAGTTATAAATTTACCTGATCTGGTAAGAAGTCTTGCCAGCTGTTATGAGCCTTGAGATATGAGATGGCTTCTCTCTGCTTCAGGTAGGGTAGGATGAGTGACAGAGGCCAAGGGTAGGGGGACCCATACCTCTGTTTAGTTTTCTGATCGGCAGTCTCTTTCACATTCCATGATAAGTACATCTTCAAAAGATATAATAGAAAGAAAATATACATACATAGAAGAAACTCTTTTGTGTTCAAAGAATCACAAGAGTTGAATATTACAGATTAAAGCTATTTCATCTTCAAATCATTAAAATAAAAATACATGTAGAGTAATTGTTGCAAAATCATGTGTCAAACAACTCATCAAAACACCCTGCAAATCAATCTCTCCTTGACTCTCCCATTTTCACATTTATTGACATGAACGCAACTTTAAACTACCTTGCACAACAATTCCTTCTCCACGTTGTAATTAAGTGAATTACCTTAACTATGTGGTATATTAAAGTCAACTGGAATCTTACCTCTGCTAGATAGAGCCTGTTGATAGAAAGAGCCATGTATGCCTTCATCTCTGACTTTTGACCTCCACTCAGCTCCTCTGATAGAGACAGTCCCTGAAAATGAAGAAGAAAAAAATCATAAAATGCAGACAATCTGGCCTCTGCAACAGACATGAATTGGGTCATTAGCTTGGAATGACATGTAGGGTAGAATATCATTCTAAAGGTGGAGTAGACATTTTTAGCCACTGCAGATTCTTTATATACATAAGATTACTGGTAATGTATGTTCATTCATCCTTTGAAGTGATAAACTCCTTTCTTATTATTATTATCAGTATCATTACTTTAATGATGAATCTTAAAATACCAAAAAAAGGGCCCAAAGTAAGAGTGAATGTAGAAATTGGAGATGAGAGATGGTCAAATGGATGTGTAGAGTTGTAACAAAGTCCCCCTTACAATATCTTTACAAACAACTTTACCATATTCATCTGCTATTTAACTCTTAAGCTGCCACCCATACAATGCACCCAGTGCCACAGTGCTAATCCCTATTGTGCCAGCCACAAATCCCCTGTATGCCAAGTTAATTTTAGGGTTAGGGTAGGTTCAAGTGCATGTTTTTTTTAAATATCTTTACTATGTTTGATCCACTATAACCTCTCATTTGTATGTTGTATAAACAAACATTGTACATAAAAGTTGTAGAAAATTTCACCCTCTTTCCATTGATACCAATATCATATCATGAATTTGTAATTTTGCTGAGGTAAATAAGCACTATTAGTGAGTTGTCAAAACCAACCCATGTCTTGCGATGGGGAGACATAATGATGATAATTATATAAACTCCAAAACAAATTGCTAAATTACTCGAGAAAATCCAATCTGACTGTGGTAGACAAAGACGAGTAATCGAAAGCCGATAATCTGATGCATGCGATGGTACTTTCAATAGCGCTGCAAAAGCACTCAGCACGGTGCAATGGGCATGAACAATAACTGTTATTACATATGCGTGCTAGCGTGCACAAAGCAGACAAGCGGTAGCTCGCTAGCATGAACGTAGCAATCAATCGATAGCGCGCTAGCAGTCTCATGGCAGGATATGAGTCAACATCCATTCTGTTTGCATAATATTTAATGAAATAAAACAATAGTAATTACCTCAATGACAACGTTTATTTTTTTAAAATAACAGGATGTCCTGTCAAACAGTGAAACCCAAGTTATAATAATTTTCAGACAGTCAGGCATATTAGCCTTCTACATGTATCGTAATTTGATGATGCAACATATGTTTTTATTGATTCAACTTCGACGCTAGTTGAGTGTTAAGTTACCTTCTTTGAAACATATTCTACAATGGGGTCAAACTCTGATACAATGTCAGCCCCAGCCTTGATGAAAGGTACAGCACCTGATTTTAAAATAGAAAAAGAAGTGTGAAAATTACCATGCTGAATATGAATAGAGAATTAGAGTATGTTTTGTTGTTAAAAAACATCACATGTACTTATCGTAAGTAATCAAATCCTGAAATCTTCATCATCATCAAATTATTAGAGACAGAATTTTCCTACTTATAAAGGGATACTGAGATATTAATGAGATATTATTTGTAAAGGGGAATTATTCACAAAAATAAAACTGCTATGGATGGATATTCACAACAGCATGCATATTACAGACCTAGCAAAGGAATTTCATAGAGGAAATATTCTGCAATCATCATAAATAATGGAACAAAGTGATTACTTTAAAACCTTTCAATGTTTAAACTCCTCCGATTCAAGTCTCACTTTCACTGAAAATACCAAAGACCCAATTTCGTCCTTCCAAACTTACATACAATAAACTCATCAAGTTTATATCTTTGGAAAAATGGAATGGGAAAATGATTTCCCTTAATTGTGTACAACACTGTAACATACTCAAGCAAAAAATAAATTCTTCAAAATGAAAGACTCAGGGGAAGTTTGTTGGTTTAAAATGTAATTTGGGGAATTTATAAATGTTAGAAGGAATCCACTTTATGGTTATTTCAATGACTTAATGATGAATACAACAGAAAGAATCATACATGTAGAAACTGGATTGGATTGACCAAATAGTTTAATGAAAACAACTTGATACATATTGGTTGATCCTATATTCACCTGAAGGAGACATTTGCTCTGCATTGCTGCGTAGCATGATGTGGAACGGGATGTCACACATCTTCAGAAAAGCTTTCACTGCAAGGCATTGGGCCTTCTCTGGAAGAGTGATTTGGTTGCCTGTCAATAACATGGATGGACAATGGAGAAAACAGAAATGTAAAATACAGGTATTTTGGAGGACATTTCAAAATTGTCTTAGTGAATGATGCTCAACAAATTCTGGCTACAATGTAGTAATTTTAACCTCAATTGATCATGTTGAAGACCACATCTTCAACAATTTCTTTCTCAAATTAAAACCAATGAGAGAGAGAGAGAGAGAGAGAGAGAGACATACACACACACTCAAAGAAAGAGGGAGAGAGAGAGAGAGGGGAGAGAAAGAGGGAGAAAGAGGGAGAGAGAGGGAGGGAGAGAGGGAGAGAGAGAGACATACACACACACTCAAAGAAAGGGGGAGAGAGAGAGAGGGGAGAGAGAGAGGGAGAGAGGGAGAGAGGGGGAGGAAGAGGGAGGCAGAGGGAGGGGGGGGGGGGACGGACATTTTGATAAAGATTACCTTCATATGGCTGATACAGCTCTACATTTTCAGGGATCTGTGGCTGGCCTCCCGTGTCTGTGCATGAGGGAGAAAGAAGAAGAAGAAAAAAAAATCAAATTTGTAGTAATCTGAGATTACCAAATTATATTCTGAGCATATTACTAGGAGTATAAAATAAATTGAAAAGAAAAATGAATAGTATTCATCAGATTAAAGAAAATGTTTGAAGATCACTTTCTATAGACAAATTGGCTAGATCTACTTGATCATCAGTCAGTTGGGAACCACAAAGTAATGTCGCATCATTCTTGTTGACTAAACACAAACACAGCAGAGCCATGGCACCTCCACCGTATACTGTGAACGCCGCGGTAGGGAACTCTTGGGCTCAAGAACGTCGTGAAACCACACGCATATTTATCTGTTAGTGTTAGTTACAGTACCTGCCAGTATATGAGCAGTTTCTTCAATGCGCTGCCCCAGGAAACTCTCAGGTGCACAGTCACTGCATTTTGGATAGACTTCTGAACTAGCGCCGCCGAGGCCGATTTCACAAATTCTGTTACTACAGTTGTCTACTACTAGATCTAGGTCTAGACTACTAGATCTACTACTAGTGTTAGTGTTACTATTTAACATTACGGGAAATCCAGGCAGTGGGACTGTAATAATCCGGATTTTATCCAGTCGTCCATTTAGACGCCAGGAAATCAACCAAATCGACTCTCTCAACTCATCATTTTCCTGGAATCTATAAAGAATATTAAATGATCCATAAATGTATTATAAATGTAACTTACCACTCCCATTATTGTGAATTTCAGCTGCTTGCTGAACTAGAGTTGACATCTTTGGTATTAAATATTTTGATGGTACCTTAGAAACACAAACGATAAGGGAAAATTATGCTGTCAGGTAAGGTCGAACTTGGATTTCGATGGTCTAGGCATAACTTTATCTAGTTTATGTTTTTTTTAAAGGAAGAGGACAAAAAATTGAAAGTGAAAATGAATAATTCATTCATTAATTCAACATTCAATAATTTTACCAACTGTTTTAGCACTCATCTTATTTGCTCTGGACTATTAAAAAAATATTGTAAATTTCTATTTTCTCTACAGAAAATATCTTGTATTAAACACATGCATGTATCCTAGCAGGATTATTGCATATACCGGTAGGTTTCAAATAACAATTGATTACTTATCATCAACTACTAAATAAAAAGAAAAATTCATGAAATTTTCAGTACAGAGCAAATTGGATACACATGCATGTAGTCGTCAACTTGAACTGATTAATTAGTAATTTGAATTTAAATTCAATTCATATTCTTTCCCCATCTTTATCTGATTTCCCTAAAACTTTTCAAGATCTGTTTCTCCCTTGCTTTCTGCTTTCTTTCAAACCATATAAGCATCTGGATGTACCTCATCTCTAAGACTCTGTCTCTGAAGTAAAATTCCCTTTAAACAGTATATTTTCCTCTAGATCTCTCTCTCTCTCTCTCTCTCTCCCTGCCATAAATAACGAACTTTGGGGCACATACACACACAAAAATTGACCAATATTCATAAGCTCGATGGAATCCCAATACCCGGCACCAATTATCTTCAACAAAATCATGTACACCAACTACCCCTTCCTCTACATGCACACACACCTTACAGACCCACATGCACAACTAAATGTAGTCAACTCAATTACACTGTAGCTCTTAGATGCTGCTTATAAGTATCAGCTTCCATGGTGATGTAGATATACAGAAGGCTTGCAGTTGCACCATGAGAGTGGGGGGAGGATTGGGGAGTCCTGAAAAGGACTGTTGGTAATCTAGCTTTTTGTGTAATTCTAAAAAAGGACTAGTGTAACTTTTCTTGATCTTATAGTTCATAAAAATGAGAGAATGAGCTTTGCGAAAAGAAAACATTCTGAATCGACTAGATCAGTATAAATATGCCCATATGAATTGACTGAATGATACTAATGAAATGGTAAAATAATCACATTTTTTTAAATTGTCATTGTTATTTGTTAATGATACTGAACTTGAGGTCATTCATTCAATGTTAAAAATTCGATTTTTCTTTTCCTTTTATGAATATATTAGTTGTTCATGTAATACCTTCAATTTTATCGGATTTACCTCATGATCACACCTATTAATGTTAACATAAATACAGAGGGATTTTTTAAACATAATACAATTGACAAAGGAAATTTCATGTCTTAAACATTCAATGCACTTTATTGTGTAATACTTACAACACTGGTTTGATATTTTTGACAGAAAATGATTAATCATTAAATTAGAATAATCACACGATGTATTAGACTGAATGAAATATAAACTTGAAAAGGAAACTGTTGCCCAAATAAAATTACATGTACATCACACCTTGATTTCATTGATATCTTTCATAAAATTTGTCATTTATTTGGAATACCAATTACTGCTTGGAAACAAAATATTAGTATTATGCTAAAATTTTCTCTTGTATTTCAATAAATACCGGTAAATACATAAGTACCAACAATTATGCTCAAAATTATTGTTCTCTGGTAACCCTTGGGACTGGAAAAAGGATGACAGTTGATCATTGAACATTTCATCACTTGCCTCTTAGTAGTGAATAGTAAGTAGTATCAAATTATTTAAAAATATTGTCAATGTTGACCCAATATCTAATTTTCAATGTTAAAATCTTAGATTAAAGCTATATATTACAAAAAGTATGTATTAAACCATTAGCAAGGAGAACAAACTTGTTGATACATATTTAATTTTTTGTTTGTTTAGTATAAACAACTATTTCCCAATGTAATGTACAGCTTCATCCTACAAAGATAATCTCAAAATTAATATTCATTGGATGTTCCTGGATTAAGACATAACTGACTTAAAACATGAGTAAAAATTTAGATTTACTTTGACCTTGCAAGTACATGTACCTTGTAGTGAGGGGGGGGGGGAGCCTATACTAAATAAGTTCATGTAGAATACAACAGTCATATTGGGGAAAAGAAAAATGAGGTTGACAATCATAATATTTCATTTAAGTTCTGCTTTTACCAACAAAAAACAACAACATAAAATTGTGATTTATCTGGACCATGATTATTCCTTTTAGATAATCTTGACTTTGGTATTAATCATCATCTTAAAATTGAATTCTTGCTAATGGTATTGCATTCTTTTTTTATATATAGCATTGTTGACAAAAGAAAATGAACAATCACACAAAACTAATGTTTTTGTTAAAGGAATCAATACAAAACTAAATACACTTCAGTCATAAGGTTTGAATTACGATGTATGAATCAATTTGGTAATACAGATTATTATTAATTTCATGATTTTTTTTTTAGACAAAGAAAAAGTTTGTTCCAAAAATACAGGGCCTTGCAATACATACCGGTACTACATTTGTATACTAATACAATTTGTAAAAAGAGAAAATTAAAAAGTAAAATTATACAAACCCAATAACATTTCTGCAGATAATCAACATTGAAAATGACTAAGTGTTAAGTCACTTTCATCTGAAAGTATGAATTCTGACTGGAACAGAGTTTGTATATATACATACAGTCATCATCCACAGCTCTAAACTACATGTTTTACATATAAATATAAATTGTTTACTTATAATCTAAGGAATAGAATGAATTTTCAACCTGACTTACTCCTCCAGGCTTTGAATGGTCTTTTAAGGAGAAATACACAGTGTGACTCCATACTACAAAAGGCTCTTAGACTTGGGTGTATAAAACATGTGTACATGTATACCAATAACAATCTATATCTATTAACTCTACAGATGAATTATTAGACTCTTAATTTTACATCATAAATTTAACAGATATTTGTACAAGTGATGGCGAGAAGGATGTTTGATGCTACTTTAATAATGACCACTTCAGTTGATCCTTGGCTGACTGGAGAACCTAAGAGCAAAAGAAAGAAAAGAGAAGAAGAAAAAATAGCATTTAAAATATCATATTTCATTCAATCTTGATTCAATAATGCAAAATACACACAAAATACACACTGAAATGGGAAGAAATATTTCATACCAAATGGATTTGTATTTCATCATAAAGTTTTGACCTACTCGGTACCGGTCACTATGAACATGACGGACAATGAAAGCAGACAAAATATACAGTTCCTCAGGTAGACAAAGGAACATCCCTTCACTGATATTATGTAAAAATGTGTAGAACAGGTGTCACATGCATATTTACCTGTTCTACACATTTTCACATAATAGCAGTGAAGGGATGTTCCTTTGTCTACCTGAGGAACTGTATATTTTGTCTGCTTTCATTGTCCGTCATGTTCATAGTGGGTATGTGTAATTCAAGTCTTACAACAACAAATCAAAAAGGCTATTGTAAACCTATCTTGAATGGGGAAGAAATTCTACAAATAAAATCTATAGTATACACTACCAAAACTTATTTTGTATCATAAGAATTTGTAATTAATGTAATTAAATGGATTTCATTTACTGTGTCTGCTCATTTTAAAGGGTAGCTTTTCTTGTTTTGAATGAACTGGATAGTTAACTCAAGGTCTGGTCAACATATATTTTTGGTGGCTGATTTGAAACATGTCCCATCATTTCCAACTTTTTTTCAAACTGTGATCTCAGAATGTGATAAGATTTTTAAATAAAAACCTAAAAAGGATATATAACTTTAAAAATCAGTGTGAATATTGAATATTGGTATATTGCCACTTTGTTAGCATATTGAAATATCATGAGCTGAGATCATATATTTTCATTTGTAATAACGCTACAAAAGCAAGTCAAATTGCCAAATACTTCTGTCACCTAGAAACAATTACCGTATAGAAAAAAGAAGATAAAATAAACATGAAGAAAAAAGATATTGCGATAATAGGAAATATAGAAATAGGCCATTACCTACATGTATACATTGACATTTATATATAAATGAAAGAAATTGATCAATTTAAAAGAAAATGAAAGAGATTTCCATGTACAAGGCTCAATGTATAATTTCAGATCTTAGAATAAAGTGAACGAATACAATACATACGTACACTGTTCTTGTATGTAAAATTAGTTGATATCATGGTGTAGAACTTAAAATTATATTATATTTGTCTTATTTTAGATATAAGGTACATTTTTCAATAAAGAAATCAACTTCACTTTATACAGGTACAACATTTCAGGCTGTTAGCAAAGATGTTGATGGGGGGGGGGGTGGATTGGGGATCAAGCCTTAAAAGGGTTTTATTAAAATATATTACATGCAAATGCCATGTATTAAGGCTGCTTGTACATAAGGCTTCAGAGTAATTCAGCATACAGGTATATGGATGAAACACAATGCAGGAAAGCATTTGAATTAATGTTACAGCGCCAACTAGTGTCAAATCTACCCCATACATTTATTCACTCTCCCGTGCATGTATATGTAGAATTTTCACCTAATGGGGATGGAAATATCAACAAGTCCAATTTTAGCAACTCTGGTAATGTGAGTAGTACAATCATTGAAGAATGTAATCAATATAGAAATTAACTTATTATGAAAATGATTACCTATATTGTAAATATACCTTTTTTAGGGTCTGTAGACAAAACATGACAACATTTTTGGTTTTATAACAAATTTGATAGACTTTTTGATAATGAAAATCTTCATGACAATATTTTTCCAACTCCAGCCAAATTCTAATTTCATTAAAATGTATGTGGTTTAAGTGTAATATATATGTAATACATAGGATCAATTCATTGGCCAGCAAGCCAAACCTATAAAAGTGACTTGCCTGCACAGTGCTAATGTACAGACATCACTTTTGAAATAAACATTTTCAAATGTTTTTATTCAACTGTTCCAATAATATACATTTATGAAAGAGAAGCCACAAAAAACAAGTAAGTTCACAGTGCAAACATACTGCAGAAGAAACTTAGTAAACTTAGCAGTTTATGTGGCAAGTGCATAACTGTACAAAGATACAGTATTTGAATTTGGCTTCATTGAGTATCACAAGTATCGTAATATCCAAAAGTTATTTGTAGCATTTGCCTGTATACAAAAATAGTATGTTTTTACATTTTGCCTGAATTGAAAGGTGATTCACCATTAATACTAAAACAAGATACAAATAGTATTTCACTGATGGACTGAAGAACTGTCTGTTTGGAGCCAAAACGGCCTTAATTGATATCCTTAAAACAGAATTAATATACTTCTGATTCCAAAGAGATGAAATAACAGATTGTTAATTGGTAAGTGTCTTCGTATGATGGTTAATTTGAAAATCTAATAACTACAATTGCCTTCATCTAATATGGATTGGTAAGTCAATATTAAGACAACAAAACAGAGAGTAAGGCTACGTGTCTAAAGGACAATTACAACATCTTTCTCCATAACTCGGTAGTCCATGAGCTCCCAATTTTTTTTTAATCTTCAATTTAAAAAGATATCATATGCAATTGAAGGAAAGTTACTACTGCTCTCTTGTGTACATAAATCATTCATATACCAGGGGGTGTTTCACAAAGATTAAGATTGACTTTAAATTGGACTTCAAATATAGAAGGCCATTCATGCAACTGTTTTCTCTCCCCATTTACTGGTATTGGTCTCTCAAGGGATGTACAAATCATGGTCACAAATCTACAGAATTTACATTTTGTTTATAGTTCATTATTAAAGGACAAAATATTATCTAAAGATCATATTTGTAAAAGCAAATACGTCCTGCCATAATTTTGTCCAAATTAACCTGGGAAGGTCCAATTTGTATGTGGGATTCAAAACAGCTTTGCGTTTATCATGTCTTGGAAACATGATTCTGGCTGTATGTCACATTCAAAACGCACTTTTTTCAGCGTTACAATATGCCCATATCTAAAGACGTTTGAAAAAGGCTTTGCGCTTTATCACCTTAAAAATTTGCCTGAAAGACGTTTGAAAACGCAGATTCTAGGCAAAAAATTGGTCAATAAACGCACCCTTTGTGAAACACTCCCCAGGTGTACCAACATTGTTGTTCTTTCTACTTTGTAGTGCCCCACTCCCAACCCAACCCAACCCATCCCAACCCTTCCCTACAAAAACATGTATGCCTGGAGAGCATTTGCATGGGTCTTTCTAAAGCCATTTTCAAACCATTTTCATGACCGGTATATAATTTACTTATTATACATTGCAGTCATTATGAAGTTGGTAGACTACAAGCACAAAGAGATTTCGAAGAAGGACAGTTTACAAAACTAATCTAAAAACTAGTGGGTGCAAAGAAAGATGCATGGATGCCAGCTACATGCAAACAGGTATTTTTGTTCTCTTTCAAGAACGAATTTTATAATGGGAGTAATTATGCTACATATCATATTTCCTATAAAATACAGAAAGTGTTATGTCTAGTATGAGTCAGGTTTAGGAATGTGATAGAGAATATGACAAATAGTCTTCCTTTGCTTATCCATGTTTTCTTGCTAGTAAATCAAAGGCTGCTTTGAGCACTACAAATGTGCATGGCAGCAGGTCTAATTATGTATGCACTCTATCCCATAGCAAATGGAAATAAAAATATACCGGTAGCCAATTATTAATATTATTATTTTTGTTTTCACCTCCTAATGACACTCTATCAAGATGGGTAGAGATTTAACACTGATCTTATCACCAGAATCACCCTGGGGGGGGGGGGGGGGTCACTCTCATACACAAGTGCTACCCACCCGTGTCCCTCAAACTCTGAAATGGACCCTAATGGCGTAGCGCACCTTTTCTGAAATGACCCTAATGCGGTATGTAAGAAACGTTGAAACTTGTGAACCTGAAAAAGTACCCTTTTTGGGGGGGGGGGGTTGTGCGATCAGTGCTTGAAAAACACCCCTTTTTAAGAAAAAAATTGATGACACTGTATACCAGTAGCTGAGAAAGACACCCTTTCAACGCTTTTTCTGGACACAATTGCGTAGCCAGTCATGTTGGGAGCAACCCCCCCCCCCCCCCCCCCCCGGAGAAATATCCTCTGATGGATCTACAGGTAAATAAAGTTTAGATCCAGAGCAAAAGCTTAAAATTTAGAAACAGGGAATCCATGCAAAAATGTTAAGAGAGGAAAATGGTTTAAGTGAGAATGTGAGTTCTTGGCATAATATAAATATTAATATGCACAAACAGAATGAGAGAACGAGAAACCATCCCTGCGAGCAAAATGGATCAAGCAATCAATCAGAATGGACAGACTTACATCCAACTTGCTGCTGATGACCTTCAACACCACAACAGAGGGAGGCACAGAACAAAAAATAACAAGGGTGAAGGATGTGACAGAGGGAGAAATCAAACCAAATAATAAAACAACTGGAAAATAAAACTGAAGAACAGCTTTCAGCTTGTGAAGGTAGTGGCACTGATTTGCAATCCAATGATTAAATAGATTTGTTTATTAGTTTTAAATAGGAGCACTAGTCAGACAGCATTCCTGTAACATGGTGTAATGGTCCATGCATATACCCATGAATATCCTCAGTCGTCATAGACCATCCTATCCAGTAGGCTATATGACTACCGTATTTTTTTTCTTTAAAATTGTGGCTTTAGATATCTTTATTATTAGTCTCAAAGGCTACGTCTAAATTTTTCATGCAACAAAATTAATTGTCCGTTTAAAATTGATAATGGTGAATTCATTAGCAAAATTTGAGATACAGTGGTTTAAAAAACCAACTGGTGAAACAATCTACAGATCAATGCTACTACAATCATGCACGATACGTCTGTATTCATCTTAGCTTACTACCTGAAACATGTCATATAAATCAATATGCCATGGATGATAACATAAACATTTTCACACTATGAAAAGTGTAAATAAATGTGATTTCTCAAGGAAATGTTACCTTGTCAGTTACCTCTAAACACCTCAAACACATCACAACATCAAAATGTGATCATGTATAACTGAAATTTTAACAACTGTTTATTTGGTAGTGCATTTCCTTTTTATTTATACGTTTATACTTTTGATGTATGATTGAAGCATTCATAAAGCCATTTCTTGATGCACACTTTAACAGTTCTATACAAAACTGAACTGACAATAATTATGAGATGTTCCACATTTATAAATACATGTAGGTGTGCGTTTTGACATAGATGCAATATGTCATATGTAATATGTAATACATACATGTAGTGATTGTGATCATGATATGTTAACACAACAACAAAGTCATAGACATGTAGGATTATAAATAAAAGACCGTTTCTTTTTACTTGTTATCAAGCATTTTAATACCTGTGACATGGTCTGTTCGCTGATTGGTACATCATCCCCTCTCAGTGAAACTCTTTGTGCAACAGCAATTGGGTCTGCTTCAAGAATGATCCTGAGAAGTGAGAACAATCAGCAAGAGCAATAATCATACATGTGTATATTATCTGAAATGATTTTCTTATATATGAAGTTTAGTTCTTTAAAGAACTGAGATATCTATTTCCATGTCTGGCCATTTTTTACTGATCTGCAATGAACTTGCAATAAGTTTAGGGCAAGGTCTTTAAAGCAAACAACACAAATGTATTAAAGCAGCACAAGCTTACACAATATAAATACAATGAATAAATTCAAATATTAAAAGGATCACTTTAATAATTTTTATCATAAATATCATTTTTTTAGGATTTCAGATGCTGATCAAAGTACAGGTGAATATGCATCTATTTTGTTGTCTCAAAAGTATTATGTAGACTGTACAATTTTGAGGAATAGAAATTAAAAATAAAAAAATCTACATGAATGAGGTTTAGAATAATCATGAGCTAAAACTGTAATTTTCATGAATTGAATGCCTCTTTATCTGTGTAAAGGCAAATCCACTTGAAATTATAGACGATTACATAAGTGATTGATGCCAATACCATTCAGAGTCATTTGGCTTTTCCTCTTAAAAGGAGTCCACTCATAAGTGTGTAAATACATTTTGAGTTCTAGACTCTCAAATTTTCTTTTTCTGAATCATCTACATTGTGGTAGACATTATTTTATAAAGAAAGTAATAAGAAAAACAAATACATTTTCAGCTCAACTTAAGCTTCATACCAAAGGTTAAAAGGTAACAAACGTCCCTATTTTTTTTTTAAAGAGAAAAGAAATTCCATTTCCATTAAATGTCACATATCCTTTGTTTTCTGAGTAAGTAAAACCAGATGCAGACTATTTGACATCAATCGTCTTTCTAACAATTGGAACAAACAACACAGTGTGCAACCTGATACATGTACAGCATTCAGACACAAATTGATTCCAATCTCACATAAATCACAAATACCAAATAATTCTTTATTTTTGTTGCATGGAAGGAAACTCTTTTATTTGATCACATCCTGCCTAGACAATCTCATCATTTCCATCAGTGGTTTGAATTTCACTGGCTTTCTTTTTTTCTTTCTTTCTTTTCCTTTTATTTTATCTCTATGTCTGATTGGCGAGTTCTACAGATTAATTTCAAACTGATTTTGTCCTCTTTTTGTGGACGATATGGGAGAAAAAGCCAAACCTCTGTGCGTTTAAATGGGCGGGGAAAAATTACTAAATGATGAATCTACATGTAATTGCTCATAAAATAAAGGCTTGAGTGTGCAAATTAAATTTTGTTCATAATACATCCATCATGAATAAACATGAAAAGTGCTGTTCTACAAATAATAATGGTGTATATTTTGTCTGTTCCTTGCGCACATTTTTTTCTAAATTCTTTCATATAATAGACCTAAGCAATTTCTAGGGTCCATTTTTGTATTCACTTTATAATTGTTTTGGCCATTTAAGCTTCTAATAAATTCCTTGTGAGGGGAAAAAAGGTGTAGCTCTAGCAATTATCTTTCTTTTTTAATATTTTTTATATTTCTATTCTTGGGGTGGTTATTTGATTTCATAGCTTTTTAGAGAATTGTACTATGTTTTTAAACCACTGCTTTAAAGGTAATACAAAGTTTTGGTATGGGGTCATGAATTTGGTTTAAATGAACATATTGGAAGCATATGAGATCCTACAATATTCAGTGATCGTTGTCGCGGTTGAAATCGAGTCTAAAGTTATAAAATTGTAAATAATAAACTCTTTATGTTGTATAGCTCCCTCTTAAGGTCGAGATATTAATTAAGCTATAAAACAATGTTTCTTGACTAAAAGCGACCAATGAGCTATTCCCGTTTGGAAATGATATATCACAACTACATATTCTGAGATTTTCATGGTCGCAGCTATCATTATACGGCCATAGGTGCTATTTGAAAGCAGAAATTTTTAGGGGCTAAATGTTCTAGTGCTTATAATACATCCACAGGGGCATCCAAATATATCAAAATTGTAAAGAATCATTATCCACCTAATTTTCAAAATTTCCCAAAACTTTGTATTACCTTTAAGTAATCACATGTCAATATAATTTAGCTAATGTGCACTGCATTAACAGCCATCACTCAAATGAGCTCCAATGCTCTATCAATGGAAACCAAATGTATCTACACTACTGTATAACCAGAAACTTTGCAAGCACAAATTGCTTGTGAATTTTACAAGTGGTCTAGATTCATGAATTCCTCAAGTGGTCCAGATAAATGAATTCCTATTTTCTCCCCTGTGAAATATTGAATCATAATTGACAACACTAAACTTTTGCAAAGGTTTCTGGAAGTGGAAATGGCCATCATTAATATTTTATGATAGTTTCACGTCACATACATTTCTGGTTTTAGAAAAATTCAATACCTTCTACTACTTACCCTTCATCAATGATTTCATCCAATGCAAGAATAATGGAATCCAGGTGATCAAATAGAGCTTTCTTTTCTACATTTTTCCTGCAGAAAAAAAAGAGAAAAATGAAGAAAACAAAATTATCAATTAATGACATCAGTACACAAGCATTGTTTAAAAAATGTTCATGAAACTGAAACTATGAAAACAACAAAATTATTCATGTATGTACTGTACAGGATCAGTACATCAGTATTGTCTGGAAAAAATGTTCTAGAAACATGGGGAGAGACTTTACAAAATGAAGTCAATATTCTTTAAGTGAAAGCCTTTTAGTTTCATTTTAGGCTTCTTTCTAGAATGAAATTGAAATGTTGATTTGATTGCACCACAGACACTGGAATCTAGGTCAGGAAACATTGCTTAATACCCAATGTGCCTTTCTTCAGCTTCGCTTGGATGATACTACGACATCATGAGGGGGCCATGTCAAATCTTTGCATCATTCTTGGATGACAGGTTTAGAAAAAAGGTCTGCGATATGAAGAGGAATTAGAGTGATCAATCAGCACATTATTTTGGTGAGGCATCTCGACTCTTCCTTCAGAAAACAGGATCTGTGCAATTGACTTTGTGACTAAATATTACCATCCTAAGGGGGAAAGGGAATTGGAAGCAGAAGATGCTTGCATGCTTAGTTCAAGGTGTAGGTTTCCATGGAGCTGATGTATCCACACCAAACTAGGGATAACGTTCATTTTAATGTTTCATGACTGTCATGACTGCATAATATCATTACAGGTGGCAGACTGATAAATTGTTATACTACAGAAGGAATTTCTCCATGAATTGAGCAATAAAACAATTCTGTCAATAGAAAAAGAAATACCATCACTACAATAATGACACAAATGACCATACAAATCAATCTAAATCATTCACTACTGATCTCGTGTGTTAGATATTTATAAGTTTTGTGCTGTTTTTTTTTGTTTGTATTGTTTTCGTTTTTGTTTTTGCATGGTTTTGCTTTTGATCTCGAAGGGCCTTGTCAATAAAAAAGTGAGTAGTACATTCAGGTGTAAACTATACACAAATGTGCTACTGGACATTCACTGTCCATTCTTATCTAGTGGTCATTTCATTTCATTCTACCACCTAGCATTTTTACAACAAAATTGTTATTTAGGTAGGTAAATATAAAAATGTAAATCTAGTAGAATAACTATTCCAGTTTACAGGCAAAAATCTGAAAATTAAGTTTTAATGTCAGTGTTACTATCCACGAAACATGAAAATCCCACTAAAGTAAAGGTATATATTTTTTTTTAATATCTAAATAATCATGAAACTTATTAAGCCTGATTACAAAAATCACTACAAAGTAAAACTGTATTCTAACACCCTTCTTTTTGGTCATTAGACACCAAAGATATACTAAGATCTCTAAAACAAGTAGAGTGGCTCTTTAGACAAGCACAAAACAAAACAACTGAGAAATATGAACACTGCCTAGGAAATATTACTCTGCTCTGTGAGGGTGATGAGAGAAAAGGAAGTGACATACAAGTCAATCAAATAGGGAGGGTAGTCCATCCCCTAGGGAGGAGGGGGTGGGAGGGGGAGAAAGAGGGAAGGAAGAAGATATATATATATTCCACTGTCACTGGATGCAACTAAGATCTGCCTTGGAAACGAAGGGTAGGATGACAACATCCGTAATCTGATTTGGGACTGGACTGTAGGAGGGAAACGGCAAGGAAAGGGGGAGAGAGACACAGAGACAGAGGAAGAAAGAAGAGAGAGAGAGAGAGAGAGCAGAGGAGAGAAGGAAAGAGCATTCATGTAGATCAACTTCCTTCTTCTGAAGATGAACTGTGGCCTAATTAATGAACACATCAATCGTTCAATTCATGGCACTGCTTATACAGGACAAAAAGCAATTAAGCAGACTTCAACCAGATCCACATCTTTTCTTGATTTCAAACCAATTCATAAATCACCAGTGACCAATCACTTTTCACAAGTTTTGATTCAAGACAGGTGACATCAAGTTATATCAAGAATCTTTAATAGTAGGGATGACCTCAATCTCATGATGACTATCAAAATGTCAATCTTTTAAAAGTTATGTGTTCGTCATTAGAGTTTGGCAATGAGACAAATATTTGAAGACAAGCATGAAGAGATGCAGAAGAAGACACTATTCTTTCATTTCCTTTAAATATTTAGCATATGTTTGTGGGCTTCTTTCTCTTTCTTTCTTATATTTCAAAGAATAGTTTATTAAATAATTTTTATTCCATGGGTCACTTTTCTGTAATTCATCTTTCTCTAGCCCAATTTCCTACAGATGATGTCCATGTTTGGTAACCATGCAACCAAACCACCCTAAAGCGATAGGGACCACATCACTGAATGGTGCCTCTAGCCTAAGCTTGACTTGATGGTTCCAAGAGGAGGTGCATCCAGGTGAAGCGTGATACAAGTTTTCCTCCTCCTCCTCCTCGTCTCCTGAGATGTAGAGCGATGACAAGGTGCCATGATGTGATTGGTAGTTGGCAGCTCTGTCTCCTGCTGAGGGATGTGCCAAGCCAAGGGTGGGTGGGTGGGTAGATTGGAGAGGTCCTGGTGCAAATAATACCTCAAGCTTTCTCCAAAGGACAAAAACCTTTCAGCCTGATGATTTTAAAAATTACACAATCAGAGCCTAAGATGACGCAATTAACGAAAACTGAAAATTCATGGGCATTGCTTACCATATATATAATAGTAGTTTTATTCCTCTTACTAACTATACATTTCTCTCCTTCTCTCTCTTTCTCTCTCTAACTGTCACTCTCTCCGTTTATTTCTAAATGAAAGATGTAACACTGCTGAGGCTACTGGTACAACATTATCTAAGCATCATATTTGCCTTTTTGAAAAAATTAGGCCATCTAATTGAAGTAAATGAATGCAAGTTGAAGCAGAACTTCCTCCAGCATTAAACACAGAGACTTCAACTTTTGACAAAAAAATTGAGCCTAAAATAACTTTTCTATACCCATTGCATTTAGACCTCAAATTTTGAACAGGGGCCTAATCGGCAAAGACTGTACAATTTTGATCCAGACCACCATTAAAAAAAGTCTATGTGAACTCTAGCACATTTCAATATATCAAAATTTAAAAAAATAAGAAATAAAAAAATGTATTTCCAAATTTCAATTAGAATAAAATAATATTGAAATCAGAAAATGCTCGTGCCTGATCATCTCTTGCTTCCCTTCATACCTTCGTTCTTTGTAGAAGAATTCTAATCCACAGGTGAGAACTTAATATACCTGGACATCATCATCCAAGAATCAATGTGCAGGCAGGAGCAGATGAGTCATAATGAAAGACCATCTTCTTCTACCTCTTCTGATTTACAAACAGGAAAGGACAAGCAGAAGAATACAATGAAAGAAAAGGAGAAGGATGACAAGACAAGATAGAGCATCTTTTCTAATAATTGGCCATAAAACAAAGCACATCCTGTCCAAGACGACGGTCAGCTATTGTTCTATCTGATATGTCCATAGAGGCGACCCGAGATGACCTCGTCATCAAGGAATCTCTAAGACAGGCAAAGATAGGTACACCTTAGACAGGTGGACTCTGAAGCGATTCTAAAGGATAAGTGAACAATATCATTTTACATCCACGGATGACATTTGCTTTGGACATGCCAAATCAATTCCTTCAAATGCTGTACATCCTGTTTTGGTAAAAGGAAAAAGGTCAAAATCATTCATCCACATCTCTGTGGATTAAATATTGTTCAACTGACCCAAATACAATTACAAAACAGAGTTCTGGTGATCAAAGGAATTGAAAAGGTAAGCCTAATTATGTTTCACTATTAACCAATCCAACCTAGTTTGAATTTCCTTAAATCTATCAAAGAACCCCCTCCATCTCTAGTTTCCTTTTCAATTTTTCAATGAAAGCCAAAGAAACAATAACAGCAGCATAACACAGCAATGATGGTGGTGTAACACAACACAGGCACACTTTGTAGCAGAAAACATGTTGTGTGAAAGTACCTTTGAGTTTAAACTTTCTTGATTAACTAGAGTGTGGTAATATCAAAGAAACGTGGCTCAAAGCTGAATGACCCAGACTGATGTACACTGAATAAGGACAATTCATTTCAGACATTAAATTTCAGTCACACCCTGGGATGTAGCCAGGATATGCTATGAATAATTTGTCTTTGTAATAAATCAACAATCTTTTAGGAATCAGAAAAACAAAAGGTTACTCCAATTCATCCATGACGTCCCTGTCCTCCTCTGAATGCCCAACACAAGTGACCCAGTGAAGGGGCTAACAAAGGAGGAAGGCTGGGGGAAGAGTCCAGTGTCATGCACCATGGATACCGGACTAGAATCTATAAACTGATGGGTCGGTGGTTGATTGAGGAGGATATGATTTATTTTATGTGTGTTTGGGGGATGGGGCTCCCTGGAGAGGGGGTAAGACAAGATAAAAGGAAGGGGGAAGAGTCTTGTGATGACACCACAAAGGGTGATTGACATGAGATGGAGCTTTGCTGAATCATGCACCAGGCCAGAGGTGACTTCCAAACAGCCGATCTAGCTTCAATAAGAAGCAGCTGAGAGGGGTCATCTGGTGTCAAAGGTCAAAGGGTGATTGACATGAGATGGAGCTTTGCTGAATCATGCACCAGGCCAGGGCTGACTTCCAAACAGCAGATCTAGCTTCAATAGCAAGCAGCTGAGAGGGGTCATCTGGTGTCAAAGGTCAAACAGTGATTGACATGAGATGGAGCTTTGCTGAATCATGCACCAGACCAGAGGTGACTTCCAAACAGCCAATCTAGCTTCAATAGCAAGCAGCTGAGGGGGTCATCTGGTGTCAAAGGTCAAAGGGTGATTGACATGAGATGGAGCTTTGCTGAATCATGCACCAGACCAGAGGTGAATTCCAAACAGCGGATCTAGCTGAGAGGGGTCATCTGGTGTCAAAGGTCAATGGTCAATAACAATGAATTCTAAAATAAATCATATGTAGTAGTGATATGTACAAAAGGTATTTCTGTTACAACTTCAATTAC